TCTAAATCATTCGTGAAATGACTAAAAATTGACATGTTACGATGAGATCACATCTATGGGTTAACACAAGATAGTTTGATCAACCTCATTTCCGTCAAAACTATACATAAAAAAATATCTAAAACAAAGTTTTATATACATTATTTGATTTTTTAACAGATTTGACAACGTCGCAAATTAAACGAGAAGGTATTGGTCGCCATTTTTAGTTTTATCGTGAGAAAATTAAAAAATGCTATTTACTCATAAAATAAGTAATTTTAATAAGTTAGAAGTAGATATCAATTTGTAAATTCAATATTAATTTAGAACAATCCATGATCAACTTGGAAAAGTCTTAGATCAACTTACAAAACCAAAAATCAATTTAAAACAGTTCGAAATCAATTTAGAAAAGTTTAGGATCAACTTAGAAAGTTAAAAACCAATTTATAAAAGTCCAAAACCAACTTATAAGTCTAATAACAATTTAAAACAGAACAAGATCAACTTCTAAAAGCAGAAAATCAATTTAGAAAAGTTTAAGATCAACTTAAACAAGTACAAAATGAATTTATGAAAAGCCAAGACAAATTTAAAAATCCAATATCAATTTAAAACAGACCAAGATCAATTTATAAAAGTATTTGATCAACTTAGAAAAGCACAAATACATTTAGAAACGTTCAATATCAATTTAGAAAAGTTTAGGATCAACTTAGAAAGATAAAAATCAATTTATAAAAGTCCAAGACCAATTTATAAGTCTAATAACAATTTAAAACAGAGCAAGATCAACTTTTAAAAGCAGAAAATCAATTTATAAAAGTTTAAGATCAACTTAAACAAGTACAAAATGAATTTATGAAAAGCCAAGACAAATTTAAAAATCCAATATCAATTTAAAACAGACCAAGATCAATTTATAGAAGTATTTGATCAACTTAGAAAAGCACAAATAAATTTAGAAACGTTCAAGATCAATTTAGAAAAGTTTAGGATCAACTTAGAAAGTTAAAAATCAATTTATAAAAGCCCAAGACCAATTTGTAGGTGTAATATCAATTTAAAACAGAACAAGATCAACTTCTAAAAGCAGAAAATCAATTAAGAAAAGTTTAAGATCAACTTAAACAAGTACAAAATAAATTTATGAAAAGCCAAGACAAAATTAAAAGTGCGATGTCAATTTAGAAAAGTCCAAGATCAATTTAGAAAGGTTTAAGACCAACTTAAAAAAGTAATAAATTTATAAGTCCAACATAAATTTAGAACAGTCCAAGATCAACTTGAAAAAATCTTATATCAAATTAGAAAAGCCCCCAATTAATTTATAAAAGTCCAAAATCAATTTATAGAAGTTAAAGACCATTTTATAAGTCAATCATCAATTTAGAACAGTCCAATGTCAACTTAAAAAAGTCCTAGAACTACTTATTAAAACCCAAAATCAATTTAGAATAGTACAAAATCAATTTAGAAAGAAAAGTTTAAGATCAACTTGAAAAGTACAAAATCAATTTATAAAAGTCCAAGATTAATTTATAAGTCCAAAATCAATTAAAAACAGACCAAGATCAATTTAGATAAGTCCTTGATCTACTTAGAAAAGCACAAAATCAATTTAGAAAAGTTTAAGATCAACTTAAAAAAAGTCAACAATCAATTTATAAATCGAATAACAATTTAGAACAGCCTAAAAAAAGTTAATAGATCAACTTAGAAAAGTTCCAGGTAATTTAAATTCAGCACAGTTTTGGATCAGTCCAATTTTCCATACTTTTCCATTTGAGAAAAAATCGTCGCCGCCATTTTGAGTACTACTTCCTTATAAAAAATCTAAGAATACCTAAAAATGGCGCTTTATTACAAATTTTACAACGTTGCATCTGCAAACTAATAATACTCTTCTAGTGCATCAATCTATTACTAAGGCAAGATGGCGGCATTTCCGGTTAGACCAAAATGAGGTTGACCAAATAGAGAGAACAACTCAGTCTTAAATTACACAAATATAACGAAAAATATGGCACATAAAATATAAAAGCAAACTATGTTTTCTTCTTCTTCTTTATACAAATACAATCAATTCCTATTTATTATTGTGAAGTGTTCCTTGTTACACAATTTCAATTGCATCTTTAAAATACATTAAATCACATTTGTGCGAAATCACTATAATACAGTTGTTTGTATGTAGCAATATATAGTTTTGATTTACAGCTTCTAACTTGGTCGAAATGAAAGAAAAACAAACTTTTTGCCTCTAATATCGAACATCAGCTACTTTAATAAGATTTATTATCAAGTTTGTATGACAAGTGACGCGACAGACGTCAATTTTGACGTGTTTGACAAGTGACGCACATACGTCAATGTTGACGTATTTGACAAGTGACGCGACTTGACAGTATTAAAAACAAGATGACGATCTATAGAAGTTCGGAAAATTAACATTGTTAAAACTCAGTTAATGGTAGTACAATTAGTTCTAAAGGGATAGTAAATAAAGTACATTTAAGCTTGTTGGAAGGAAAATAATAGAAGTAGAAGTGAATTTGACAAATGACTTCACAGATTGATATCAATGTAATTTGGAAGTCTTAGGTCGACTTAGAAAATCCCAAAAATCCAAGATCAACTCGAAAAAAGTTTAATATTAACTTATAAGAGTCCAAAATCAATTTATAAAAGTGTAATAACAATGTATTAGTCCAAGATCAACTTAAAACAGTCCAATATCAATTTAGAAAAGTTCAAGATCAACTCATAAAAGTCATAGATCATTATTTGGAAAAGTTTGAGACAATTTAGAACAATTTATGAAAGTAAGACCAATTTATGAGTCCAATATCAGTTTAAAACAAGACAAAGTAGGCTTGGAAAAGTCCACAATCAATTTAGAAAAGTAAGTCTAATATCAATTTAGAACAATTTTAGATCAACTTATAAAAGTTCTAGATCGACTTAAGATAAAAAAGGACAAACTCAATTTAGAAAAATCCAAGATCAATTCAGAAAAATTTAAGATCAACTCAGAAAAATTCAAAATCCATTTATATAAGTCCAAGACAAATATGTAAGTCCCGGTCAGCTTGGAAAAGTTCTAGGTCAACTTAGATAATCCCAAAATCAATTTTGAAAAGTTGAAGATCAATTTTAAAGTTAAAGATCAACTTAGGTCCAAAAAACAATTTATAAAAGTGTAAGATAAATTTACAAGTCCAATATCGATTTAGAAAAATCCAAGATCAACTTATACAAGTCATAGATCAATTTAGAAAGTCTTAGATTGACTTAAAAATCAGTTAGGAAGAGTCCTAGATAGACAATATTGATACTTGATATACATATAGATACATAACCAAACTTGCTTATTAGGAGGCAAATTGTACAGATGACATCTGTCAAAAAATTAACTGGAATTTTAAATAGATACAATTGAAAGCCAGAAAACAAGTACAAAGTTACATGGTGCATCGTCGACCGGAGAAAAACGTATGAATCGGTCAAAGCGATCAATAAACGATAATAATTAGAAGAAATAAAAGTATTTCTTCTTAATTTTAAGAAAAAAATAAATAATAGAAGTGAAGTACTGTGAGCTTGATGTACTTGACAAGTGGCGTAATAGAGTTAATTTGACAGGTTGATATCAATTTTATAGGAAATACTAACTTGGAAAACTCCTAGGTCAACTTAGAAAAGCCCAAAATCAATTTATAAAAGATCCATTCGAAAAACTTTAAAATTAACTTAGAAAAGTCCAAAATCAATTTATAAAAGTCTAAGACTAATTTATTAGTCCAACATCAATTTATAACAATTCTAGATCAAACTGTAAAAGTCCTAGATCAACTTAGAAAAATTCAAAATCAATTTAGAAAAGTTCTAGATCAATTTTAAGTTAAAGAACGACTTAAAAAAGTCCAAAATCAATTTATAAAAGTGCAAGATGAATTTACAAGTCCAATATCAATTTAGAACAATCCAAGATCAACTTATAAAAGTCCTAGATCAATTTAGAAAAGTTTGAAATCAACTTAGAAAAGTCCAAGACCCATTTATAACTCCAATATAAATTCAGAATAATCCAAGATCAACTTAGAAAAACCGAAAATCGATTTATAAAAGATCAATTCGAAAAAGTTTAATATTAACTTAGAAAAGTCCAAAATCAATTTATAAAAGTGCAAGATGAATTTACAAGTCCAATATCGATTTAGAACAATCCAAGATCAATTTATAAAAGTCCTAGATCAATTTAGAAAAGTTTGAAATCAACTTAGGAAAGTCCAAGATCCATTTATAAATTTAGATCAACTTAGGTCGACTTATAAAAGCTCAAAATCAATTAAGAAAAGTCCTAGACAGACAATGTTGATACTTGATATACATATAGATACATAACCAAACTTGGTTATTAGGAGGCAAGTTGACATGACATCTGTCAAAAATTAACTGGAAAATTAAATAGATACAATTGAAAGCCAGAAAAATTAGTACAAGCTTTCATAGTGCATCGTCGATCTGGGGAAAACGTCTGAATCGGTCAAAGCATTCAATAAACGATACTTAGAAGAAATAATTGTATACATGTTTTGAATTTCGAAAAAGAGTGTCTGGTGATTGTGCTTTCAGCATTTGTATAATATATCATTTATATATATTTTTTGGTTTCATTAAACCTATTCTGCGTGAATTTTGTGTATCGTATCGATTTAAAAAATAGTGGATACTTATCTGGTAGGTATCGATCTAGTTCTAAGTGATTAAAATTTTATTTAAAATGTTCTGCCTAATCGAGAAATCGATTTCGCTATTAAACAACGAAATGATATGATATATTTGTTTGAGACGGTAGAAGTGACGTCATCTTAGCTGTTGGACCTGCCAAATAGACGAGAGTAGCTAACTTTATGTCGGCGGTCAAGTCAAACGATCAGTGAAGCGATTTGTTGATGATTTCCAATGTTTTTGTGATATCAGATCAACTTAGAAAAGTTAAAAGATCAATTTAGGAAAGTTAAGGATCAACTTAGAAAAGTTAAAGTTCAGTTCAGAAAAGTTAAGGATCAACTTGGAAAAGTTAAAGTTCAAATTAGAAAAGTCCAAAATCAACTTGAAAAAGTCCAAAATCAACTTAGAAAAGTCTATAACCAATTTAAAAAGATTTAAGCTTAGACAAGTAAAGGATAATTCCAAAAAGCCCAAGATCAATTTTGAAAAGTCAAAGATAAACTTTTTGGATATCATCCAGCGACCGACTTTATGTAAAGGAAATACAAGATCAACTTAGAAAAGACAAATACTTTGATAAGTCACAGATAAATTTAAAAAATTTAGGCTCAACTCAGCAAAATCAAAGATATACTTAGAAAGTCAAATATCAACTAGACTTAATCGACTTAAAAAAGTCCGGGATGCACTCAAAAAAGTCAAAGATCAATTTAGGAAAGTACAAGATAAATTCGGAAAAGTTTCATATTAACTTAAAAAAGTTTAAGATCAACTTACAAAAGTCCAAGATCAGCTTACAAAAGTCCAAGATCAACTTAGGGAATGTCATACTGACACAAAATTTCTGCACTGTTTAGAAAATCCAAGATCAACATAGAAAAGTCAAATATCAACTAATCAACAAATATCGATTTAGAAAGGTTAGTTGAAGATCAACTCATAAAAGTACAATATCAACTCAAAAGTTCAAGATCAACTTGGAAAAGTCCTAGATCAACTTAAAAAAGTTAGAGGAAAAACATGAAGTTTATAAAATCCAAGATCAACTTAGAAGAGTTCAAGATCGACATAGAAAAGTTTAATATCAACTTATAAAGTCCAAGATAAATTTAAAAAGTTGGTGATGTCATAACAGTGACTGACATGAAGTTCCAGCGCTATTAAAAAATCCAAAATCAACTTAGAAAAGTCAAATATCAACTCAGAAAAGTCAAATATAAACTAATAAAAGTCCAAAATCCAAGATCAACTTAAATAAATTTAAGATCACCTTATAAAAGTCAAAAATCAACTTAAAAAAAGTAAAATATCAACTTAAAAAGTTATGGAGATCATCCGACATGAAATTGCTGAGATTGCTGAGATAGACAAGTCAAATATCAACTCAGAAAAGTCCAATCTCGTTGTGAGAAACTTTAAGGTCGACTTGGGAAACTTTAAGATCGACTTATAAAAGTCAAAGATCAACTTGGCCTTACTTAGGGGATGTCATACCGACATGAAGTTACTGTGCTGTTTGCAAAATCAAAGATTAACTCAGAAAAGTCAAATATAAACCAGGTAAAGCCCACGATCGACTTAGAAAAGTCAAATATCAATTTAAAAAAGTCCAAGATCAACTTAGAAAAGTTCCAAATCAACTTAAAAAGTTTAATGTCACAGCAGCGACCGACATGAAGTTGCTGCGCTCTTTAACCAAAGATAACGCAACTTCTACCTTTTATCACATTGTAACGTCAAAGATACAAATGGACAAGAAAAAAAAAACACCCGCTTTGGTCTGGTCAGCTTTCAGCTATCCATACGGAAAAATGTTTCAAAAAAGCTTCGATTTGTCCCAAACCTCGTCACAACTGTCGAGTTCCCTGTATGAGTTTCACTGATATATATTTTTTAAATTTAGTCCGTTTTTTTTAGAGTTTTTTAAGAGCCTCCAGTCTGATTGCTTAAAGTTTCGCTATTCTTCGAACTGGGCAACGGTTTGGAAATTCCTAGTTTGACCACTCCCGGGGCGGTGCCTTTCAGGGCTTGCACGGCTTGATCGAGCGTCGCGTTTCTTATTATCTTACCATTGACGCTGATAAGTCGATCGCCCGGCGTGATTTTCCCGTTGTGCTCCGCCGGACCGTTGGGGACGAGACTTCGCACCTGGAAAACGCATTCGACACTCATTATCACTTGTTACATTTCAAAAACTATTTATATAGATATGGACTTAATTAGTTATGGCTAGAAGGTATATTATGAGTATGGTTTTATATTCTAACTAGAAGGTAAGTGTCCATGTTTATTTTAGGTAAGTCCTGGGGATTTTAAGGTTCATTCTATTTACAGTTTATTATTCACTTAATAAAATTTCAAGGTTGCGTAAAAGTCCCAGTTAAATATCATTTCACAATGATTCTGGATCAATTTAGAAAAGTTCAATTAACTAACTTAGAGAAGTCTAAATTAATTTAGAAAAGTCCAAAATCAATTTTTAAAAATTTCAAAAAAATTTATAAAAATTTCAGATCAATTTATAAAAGTCCATATTCAATTTAGAACAAGAACAATCCAAGATTAACTTACTAGAGCAACTTAAAGAATCTCAAAATCCATTTATAATAGTTCAAGACCAATTTAAAAGTTTAAGATCAATTTATAAAAGTTTCAGATCAACTTAGAAAAGTCCAAAACAAAATTAGATCAAGAACAATCCAATATCAACTTACTAGGCCAACTTAAAGAAGCTCAAAATCCATTTATAAAAGTTCAAGACCAATTTAAAAAAAGTTTTAGTTCAATTTATAAAAGTTTAAGATCAACTTAGAAAATTCCAAAATCAATTTAGAACAAGAACAATCCAAGATCAACTTACTAGAGCAACTTAAAGAAGCTCAAAATCCATTTACAAAAGTTCAAGATCAATTTAAAAGTTTAAGATCAATTTATAAAAGTTTCAGATCAACTTAGAAAAGTCCAAAACCAAATTAGATCAAGAACAATCCAATATCAACTTACTAGGCCAACTTAAAGAATCTCAAAATCCATTTATAAAAGTCCAAGACCAATTTAAAAAAAGTTTAAGATCAATTTATAAAAGTTTTAGATCAACTTAGAAAATTCCAAAATCAATTTAGAACAAGAACAATCCAATATCAACTTACTAAGCCAACTTAAAGAAGCTCAAAATCCATTTAAAAGTTTCAGATCAATTTAGAAAAGTCCAAAATCAATTTAGAGTAAGAACAATCCAATTTCAACTTTAAGAAGCTCAAAATCAATTAATAAAAGTCAAATTTACTAATCCATTATTAATTTAAAATTGCCAAAATCAATTTAGAAAAGTCCAAAATCAACCTATAAAAGTCCAAAATTAAGTTATAAAAAACCCAAAAGTTCAAGACAATTTATGAGTCCAATATTAATTTAAAACAGTCAAAGATCAATTTAGAAAAGTTCAAGATCATCTTAGAAAAGTCCAATATCGATTAATAACAAATCAAGATCATCGTAGAAAGTCTTAGGTCCATTTATAAAAGTCCAAAATCAATTTGGAAAAGTCCAAGATCAATTTAGAAAAGTTCAAGATCAACTTTAAAAAATCAAAGATCAATTTAGAAGTCCTTTTAACAGCCTAAAATCAACTTAAAAAATGTAAATCAACTTGAAAAATGTAAATCGACTTTGAGAATTCCTAAATCAATTTAGTAATGCTCCAAAATCAATTAAAAAGTCCAACATCAATTTATAAGTCCAATTTTAATCAAGAACAATCCAAAATCAACTCATAAAAGTCTAAAATCAATTTAGAAAAGTAAAAGATCAATTTGGAAGAGTTCAACATCAAATTGAAAAAGACAAAGATCAATTTATAAGTCCTTAGAACAGCCTAAGATCAACTTAAAAAATGTAAATTAACTTTGAGAATTCCAAAAACAATTTAGAAAAGTAAAAATCAATTATAAAAGTCCAAGATCAATTTATAAGTCCAATTTTAATTAAGGACAATCCAAGATCAACTTATAAAAGCCCAAAATTAATTTAAAAAAGTCCATTATCAATTTGGAAGAGTTCAAGATCAACTTAAAAAGTCAAATATCAATTATTAGAACAGTCTAATATTAACTTAGAAAAACTATAGATCAACTTAGAACAGTCCTAGGCAATTTTAGACAAATTTGGAACCGTTTTAGATCAGACCGTCATTTTAAGAGCACATAGAGATAATACCAGTTTAAGGCTCATACCGATCTTGTATGATTAATGGGTGAATAGAGAAGATTTTTAGGGATCAATGTGTTCTTCCAATTAAGACTTACCACGATGACGCTCGATTTAATGTCGAGCGGGTCTTGATAATCAAGAATGGAAAAACCCAGACCTCGATCGCCTTTGACTAGTTCCACGTATTCAACGTCCTCAGACCACATGGCGACGTTGGTGACTTCCAACGATCGAGATTTTGCTTTTTGCAAATTGGACTCGTCTGTTACTGGAACAAACGACACATCTCAAGACTAAGGCACACAAAATTTATAAAAAAGTAACATTTAACAAAAATCCCTAAATCTGGGGAAATTACGAGTCACGTGAGTATAATGCTCGGCTCTTATTGGACGAATCGATAAAATTTCCCCAGATCTAGGTACTTTTGTCAGCTAGGTGTCAAGAGAAGTAGACTAAATAACAATGTGACAGGTGAAATGTGATGATGAATGAAATTTGGTGATGAGTGAATTGTGGCGACAAGTTAAATGTGGTGACAAATAAAATGTAGTAATATGTGAAGAATGATGACAACTGAAATGTGGTTACAACTGAAATGTGGTGACAAGTTATATATGGTGATAAATGAAATATGGGGACACCTAAAATGTGAATACACTTGAAATGTAGTGACACAGGAAATGTGGTGACGCCTAAAATGTGGTGACATCTTAAATGGGGCGCAACTAAAATTTGGCGACAACTGAAATGTGGCATCTGGAATGTGGTGACAACTGAAATGTAGTGACACCTGAAATGTGGTGACATCTGAAACGTGGTGACATCTAAAATGTGGCGACATATACAATGTAACATCTGAAATGTGGTGACATATGCAATGTGGTGACATCTGAAATGTGGTGACACATGAAATATGGTAACAACTGAAATGTGATGACAACAGAAATTTGGTGACAACTGAAAATGACAAAAGAAATGTGATAAGTGACATTTGACAACTATAAAGTCCTTTAAATCAGTTTAGCTTGTATTTATCTGTATCTAAACATTATTAAGAAGGAAATTTCAAAAAATTTATCATTATTCGCATCGTTTTACCTGTGACGGTGCTCGACGTATTAAGACTAGTATCACTAAGGGCTTTGATCAGCTTTTGCTCGGGCTGAGGAAGGAGATTCTTCAGGCTGCCGCCTAAAATGTTTCTAGCTTCGAACGCCTCTCGATCTTGAGAGGTGTTTATTACCCTATTGGTTTTGTGCTCCCTGGAGCACACGAGCCTCACGGCGCAGGGAAGCTCTTTGAGGATTTTCACCACGTCGACGTGCTTGATTCCCAGCAATTTTTGGCCGTTCACCTAAAAAAAATGTTGAAATGATAACAAACCAAAGAAAATATAAAGATTTGAGTATAAATTTACCTCCAATAGTTCATCACCAGGATGAAGTCTGCCGTTTTGTCCCACGGGACCCTCTGGTAAAATGGATCTGATGTAATGGTGCGGTCTCAATTCGATACCGCCCTCTACATCTACCGTACCTTCTAAACTTATTCCCAAACCTAAAATGATTTATAACATTTTATATTAAATATACTGTGTGTATACGGCGAGAGTTGATAATATAAATTTCAATGTGGTAAAGATTAATTTAAAAAAGTCAAAGATCAATTTAGAAAAGTCAAAGATCAATTTAGAAAAGTCTAAGATCAACTTAGAAAAGTTCAAAATTAATTTATAAAAGTCAAAGACCAATTTATTAGTGAAATATTAATTTAGAACAGCCCAAAGTCGGCTTGGAAAAGTCCTAGGTCAACTTAGAAATTCCCAAAATCAATTTATAAAAGTTCAAGTCCAATTTAGAACAGTTCAAGATCAACTTAAAAAAGTAAAAAATCAATTTATAAAAACTCCCAAGACAAATTTTCAAGTCCAATATCAATTTTGAACTCTGGAAGAACAACTAAAGTTCTAGGTTAGTTTATGGAAGCTTGAAATCCATTTATGAAAGTCCAAGATCAATTTTGAAAAATTTAAGATCAACTAAAAAAGTCCAAAATCAGTCTATCAAAGTCCAATAGCAATTTATTAATCTAATATCAATTTAGAACAATCCAAGATTAACTTGAAAAATGACCTAGATCAACTTGTAAAAGCCCAAAATTATTTAAAAAAAAGTTTAAGATCAATTTAGAAAGTTTAAGATCAACTTATAAAAGTCCAAAATCAATCTATAAAATTCCAAGACCAATTTATAAGTACAATATCAATTTAGAACCGTTCAAAATCCCCTTGAAAAAGTCATAGATCGACTTATAAAAATCCAAAATCAATTTAGAAAACTGCAGAATCAACTTGTAAAAATCAAAGAACAATTTACAAAATCTAAGATCAATTTGAAGTCCAATATAAACTCCAAGGTTAACTTAGAAAAGCCCAAAATCAATTTAGAAAGTCCAGATCAACTTGGAAAAGTCAAAAATCGATTTTAAAAAAGTCCAAGGCCAATTTATAAATTCAATAATAATTTAAAACAATTACAAGCCAAATATTAATTTATAACAATCCAAGATCAAATTAGAAAAGTCCAAGATCAATTAGGAAAAATTCAAGATAAAAAAGTCAAATGTACGAGTCCAATATTAATTTAGATCAATATAGAAAAGTCATAGATCAACTTCAAGGTCTTCTTAGAAAAGCCCAAAATCAATTTATAAAAATTTAGGATCAACTTGAGAAGAGTCAAAAATCCATTTAAAAAATTCCTAGATCAATTTATAAATTTAATCAATTCAAAACAGTCCAATTTTAACTTAAGTTAGAAAAGCCCAAAATTTATTTAGAAAAATTCAAGATCAATTGCAAGTTGAATATCAATTTATAACAAAAGAACAACTTAAAAAAGTCCTAGGTCGACTTATAAAAGCAAAAAATTAATTTAGAAAAGTCCAAGATCAATTTGAAAAAATTCAAGATCAACTTAAGAAAGTCAAAGATGAATTTATGAGTCCGATATAAATTATAACAATCTAAGATCAATTTAGAAAAGTGATAGATCAACTTAGAAAGGTCGTAGTTAAACTTATTACAAACTCACGCCAAACATAATTCTTTTCCAACAAAGATCAACTTATAAAATTCCAAGATTAACTTAGAAAACTTAAAGATCAACCTATACGAGTAAAAGTTAAAGATCAACTTATAAAAATTAAAGATCAACTTAGAACAGTAAAAGGTCAACTTAAAAAGTTAAAGGTCCACTTAGAAAAGAAACATCAACTTAGAAAAGTTAAAGATCAACTTAGAAAAATTAAAGATCAACTTAGAAAAATTAAAGATCAACTTCGAGAAGAAAAAGATCAACTTATAAAAGTTCAGGATCAAGTTTATATGGATACCTTTAAGTTTGGTGAGATTTGCGACAACGATGTCTGCACAATCGCCAATAAGTCCTTGCCACTTGTGCTTGGTCGCCGTCTCCAAATCGTCCTCTAAGTTCACTTCGAAATTTTCTTCTATGAATATCTCTTTAGCCTCGGGATTCTGATCGGAGGGGATGCTGTCGCTGTTTACGGAAGTCTTTTCGGGATCATCCTGGACCTGCTTGTAGTAAAATTGCAAATAAGTCATTTTTCATCTCTAATTTATCGGAATATTCGAGAGAAAAATCAAATGGCGCAGTCGAAAGGATATTTTTTCATTATTCTACTTACATCTGTATTATCAATCGGAATCCAACTTAAAGTAGTGACGCTAGGCGACGCAGGACTAATCTCCTTGTTCCTCTCTCTATCGGCTATGGCTTCTTGCAATTGCTCGTACTTGGGACCGCTCAAATACCTTTCGAACGTTATATCAACAACGTTTCCGGTTTCTTTCAGCCTTTTAACGGCTTCGTAGTTCGTACAATTGACTAGAGAGACGCCGTCTACTTCGATTATTCTATCATTCACTTCGATTTTTCCGCATTTAAACGCGTGCGATTGCTCGTTGAGACTCTTCACGAATATTCCGCACAGGGCTTCTTTTTCGCATACGTAACCGGCTATCGTGATACCTACAAGATACGTTTTTTGTAGAATTTCTTTAGACAGTAGATAAGTAAGCTATTGAGCAACTTATTCGATTTTTCCCCAGATCTGGGGAAATTTGTAGAAAAGATCTGGCAACAGCGCATATATAATTAACGAGACATTTGACGACAAAAAGGTTGTGCAGCATCTCTAGTGCACCGAAAGATTTATTAGTAAGATGCCATAATTGCATACATGATTAATTCATTTTGTGTCCATAAGAAATAAAAAAAAATTAAAACGTTTTTAAAAAAATTGAAATTTTGGGAATGTATGTAGAAAAAACGTAAGATTCCAACTCTTCACGAATATTCCGCACAGATTTTTTTTCGCATACGTAACCAGCTATCGTGATATCTACAAGATTCGTTTTATGTAAGCCATTGAGCACACCTTTTCGATTTTTCCCCAGATCTGGGGAAATTTGTAAAAAAAACTGGCAACACCGCATACCTAATTAACGAGAAATTTGACGAGAAAAAGGTTATGCAGCATCTCCAATGCACCGAAAGATTTATTAGTAAGATGCCATAAGTGCATACATGATTAATTCATTTTATGTCCATAAGAAATAAAAAAATTAAAACTGTTTGGGAATTTATGTAGAAAAATCGTAGATTCCAACTCTTCACGAATATTCCGCACAGGGCTTCTTTTTCGCATACGTAATCAGGTATCGTGATACCTACGAGATTTTTTTTTAATTTAGATAAGTAAGCCATGGCACACTTTTTCGATTTTTCCCCAGATTTGGGGAAATTTGTAGAAAAGATCTGGCAACACCGCATAAATAATTAACGATAAATTTGACGACAAAAAGGTTGTGCAGCATCTCCAGTAAACCGAAAGATTATTTCATTTTGTGTCCATAAGATTAAAACAAAACTTAAAAAAAAAAAAAAAGTTTTGGGAATTTATGTAAAAAAATCGTAAATTCCAACTGTTTTATTTAAAAAGTCTTTTTAATTTTTGAGGGTACAGTGGGGGTAAGATTTGTATATAAGTACGTAGTAAATCAGGTTAATTGTAAATGTGCCAAAAGTTGGATATTTGACTACACTGTAAATGTGAACACTATTATGAAAAAATTAAACATTTAATGAAAAAAAAAAATAAATTAAAAAAATAAATGTATGTGCCTAGACTCAAACGCACAATCACTTGCTTCAATAGCAGATGCCTTATTCATTACACCACATTCGCGCGATTCTTGTATTTGCGAGACGATGTATACCGGGTGACAATGAGACTAGGGCTACGTTAATATGTCTTTTATTTATAAAGCAATTTGGATAAAATACTTGTCATAATTTTGAACTGACACCTATACTTAAACAAAATAACCACTTTAGATTCAAATTACAAAGACAGAGTTGCCAAATTTTATTTTTTCCAAACAAATGTTATCTGAAGACTTTATTAAGGTACTAACTCAATTGGTAAGTTATTCCGAGGATATTAAGCCATTATTTTCCAGTTGATTTATAAAAAAAAGCATTAGGTAGAGACAGTGTTGCCAACTAGGTGCAATTTTTAGACTTTTCGTCTATATTTTGTGCCTTTTTTATGATTACATTTTTAAGAAAAATTATAGGTAAAAACGTATTAAAAACCCTTAACCTTATTTTGTGCTTTTAAATAACATATTGCTATTTTTATATTGCCCTAATTTTTGGTTCAGTTTTGGCAACACTGGGCCGAAGGTTAAATTAGAAAGGAGACTAGAAAAGGTTGCATCACGTTTGGAATTACTATTAAAAATTGTGAGGGTTATAACATTGTTTCAAAAGAATATATCCCCTGTCATATATCATTAGTTGTCAGTTGTGACAGGCTTGCGGTCGAAGTGCCTGTATCAATTATTACTAGTTGTACTATATTAAATAAAACCTTTCTTCGAAAAGTGTTGCCTTGATATTACCACACTAGCTGTTGTCTGTTGTTCTCTACTCCAAACATTACATGGTGGCAAGCGGTTTTAAATCGCGTTGAAAGGTAAAATGAAAAGTGAGGTTTTGAGACTCACTTCTGAGTTATAGAAACGGTTCTATATGTGGATTTATTGCATTAAAAAGTTGAGTATCCCAGTTTAAAAAATGGCAGAAGGGAATGCTCCTCAACCGATGAGCTTTAAAGGAAATGTAGCCGCAAGTTGGAGGCTTTGGAAACAAAAATTCAACTTATACTTGTTAGCAAGCGGAAAAGAGAAAAAACCAGATGAAGTAAAGATCGCTATACTCCTAAATCTTCTTGGTGATGAAGGTTTAACTATTTACAATAATTTTGAATATTCAGACGTAGAAGAATCGACAAAACTAAGTGTTATCTTAAGTAAGTTTGAAAAACATTGTAATCCAATCAAGAATTTAGTTTATGAACATTATAAATTTTTTAAAAGAAACCAAGAAGTGGGTGAAACCATTGACGAGTTTGTAACAGCTCTGAAAGAACTCGCACGTACCTGTGAGTTCGCTGAAAAAGACATTTTAATCAGAGACAGAATTGTAATTGGTATTCGAAATCAACGTATACAGTCGAGATTACTAGAAAATAGTGAAATGAAACTTGAAGAAGCTATTCAGATTTGTCAGTCCATGGAAAATAGTTTGTTCACACAAAAACAAATTGGTGGTGAATCAGCATCAGTAGAAGCGGTTGAAGCGGCGTATCCTAAAAATAAACCATCAAAATATGCTTGTAATTGTGACACTTCCAGAAAGGGAAATGACAACTGGCGACAGGGTCGGTCTCAGGACTCCATTTGCCAAAGTGAACGATTTAAAATGAACAGGTTTGGTAGAGGTCAAATTCAAACGTCAAGTATGATGCAATTTTGCCTTAATTGTGGTACTGAACACCAACTAGGTAAGTGTCCAGCAACTAATCGTTTTTGTGGTCGTTGCAACAAAATGGGTTATTTTAGGAAGTTTTGTAAAAATCGCGTTGTTCGTGAACTTTCAAACGATTCCTCAGATGAATTTGATCTTGATCAAATCAATATTAATAACGTAGATTACGAAACTGATAACAAAATTATTTGGACAATTATAGACTATAGTGTAAACGCTATTGAGTGGTGTGAATTAATACAAATAGCTGGTCATAATTTAAAGCTAAAAATAGATTCTGGTAGTCAAGTCAATATTCTTAATTTTAGAGACTTTATGAAACTAAAAATTAGTGTTGACAACATTTCAAAAACCAATTCCACGTTATCATCTTATTCGGGACATAAAGTTAGTGTGCGTGGAAAAATATTAATTGACTGTAAATATAAAAACATTCAGAAAATGTTAATGTTTTACATTTTAGATTCAAACATACAGAGTTCAATTTTAGGACTGACCAGTGCTAAAGACTTAAATATTATAAATGCGGACTTTTCAGTAGAATCAGTGACTTCTAACAAAGAAATAGACTCTGTAAATTACATACTTCAAACATATAAACATATTTTTGAGGGTATAGGTAAAATTTCAAAAATTTGTAAAATTTCACTTCAAGATAATGCAATACCCAGTATTTCCGCTACTCGGAAGATTCCATATTCATTACGTAATAAGGTAAAACAAAAGTTAGATGAAATGGTGGCCCAAAATATTATTGTTCCAGTTACTGAACCTACAGATTGGGTCCACCCTTTGGTGATAGCACCCAAAGCAAATGGCGATATTCGTCTATGTTTAGACCCTAGGAAATTAAATAAATATATTAAACGGGAATTTTTCCAAATTCCAACACAGGATGTTATATTTTCCCAGCTCTCTGGTTCTCAATATTTTTCACTATTAGATGCATCTTCAGCATTCCTTCAAATACCAATTGATCATAACAGTTCCCTTTTATGTACAGTGACAACCCCATTTGGTAGATATCGATATTTGAGGCTTCCTTATGGACTTTCCTCATCTCCCGAAATTTTCCAAAGGTGCATACTTGAAATACTATCTGGACTATCAGGAGTTGTAGCTTATTTTGATGACATTTTAGTATTTGGTAGTACCTTGGATGAACATAATACAAACCTAGAAAATGCATTGAAAAAGATCAAAAATTCCGGTCTTACATTAAATTTAGAGAAATCAAAAATTTGCGTAAGGGAGTTAAAATTTCTAGGTCACATTATAAATCTAAATGGTATAAGCCCTGATCCCAATAAGGTGAAAGCAATCATTGATTTAAAAAGTCCCAAAAATAAAAATGATTTACAACGATTTTTAGGTATGATAGGATATCTATCAAAATTTATTCCAAATTTATCTGAAAAAACTAGTACTTTAAGAAAACTTCTTAGTAATAAATCAGAGTGGCTGTGGTACCTAAATGAAGAAAAATCGTTTGAAGAATTAAAATCTTTAGTTTCTACAGTACCGGTGCTAGCTTACTTTAACCCTAAAAAACCCATTATTCTATCGGTTGATGCCAGTCCTTTCGGTTTAGGGGCGGTAATTCTACAAGATGGACATCCAATAGAGTTTGCGTCAGTTTCTTTGACGCAAATGCAGCAAAATTATAATCACATTGAAAAGGAACTATTAGCATTAGTATTCGGATGTGAGAGATTCCATTATCTTACTTTTGGTAATAATATCACTATTCAAACAGACCATCGCCCATTACTAGGCTTGCTTAAAAAACCTTTTGAAGACCTATCTCCTAGAATTCAACGCCTTACTTTTCGTTTATTGAAATACCAATTTGAATTAGTTTACGTTCCTGGAAAAAATCAACAACTTTCTGATACACTCAGTAGAGATCCTATTAATACCTTCATCGACACATCCTATGTCGACACAAACCTAAAAATTTATTCAATTCTTTCAACCTCAGAAGAGAACGAAAATCGTTTAAAAATAGCAATTTCTACAGATCCTATCCTCCAAAAAGTAAAATATTATCTATTAAATGGTTGGCCATCACATAAATGCAACCTACCTCCACTTTTGAAACATTTCTGGCAAATTAGACACGAAATATTTTGTCACAATGATTTAATTTTTTATCAAAAGAGGTTAATAATTCCTGACAGTTTGAAAGCAGAATTTTTAAACTTGATACACAAAAGTCATCAAGGAGTCGTTGCCTGTAAAAGAACGGCAAGAGATTGCATATACTGGCCTGGATTATCTTCAGACATAGAAAATACTGTTTTAAGGTGTATAACTTGCCAAAAATATTCCAAGACAAATCCAAGGGAGCCTCTCCATTCTCATTCAGTTCCGGAACTTCCGTGGCAAAAAATTGGAATCGATTTCAAGTCGTTAGGCACATTGAATTTTATAGTTATTATTGATTATTACAGCAAATTTATAATAGCAAATAAATTAACCAACAAAAGAGGAGAAACAATCATATCATCATTAAAAAATGTTTTTACGAACCACGGAATACCCCAAGAAATATTTTCTGATAACGGCCCGCCCTTTAATTCTCACGAATTTTTAGAATTCACTAAAAAATATGATATAAAACATAATACTTCTAGTCCTCTTTACCCTAGATCTAACGGGATGGTAGAAAGGGCAGTGCAAACTGTCAAAGGTTTATTAACAAAGGCATACCAGGATGGCGAAGATCCATTCCTAGCAATATTAAATTACAATGTCACTACCAAGGAACAATTACCATCACCAAGTGAACTTCTTATGGGCAGAAGATTAAGAACTACATTACCTGTCCCGAAAACTCTTCTAAAACCTAATTTCTCAATGGAAGGTATAAAACAAACATTGGAAGACAAACAATGCAGACAAGAGACTTACTATAACCATTCTACCCAGCAGCTGTCAAAATTGATACCAGAACAAAAAGTTTTGGTTCAAAAAGGTACTCGTGATTGGGTTCCTGCAAAAATTGTAAGGGAATCCGGCCCTAACGACTATATAGTTGAGATAGGAGAAGCTGAATATCGTAGAAATAGACAGATGATTAGACCACTACGAACATCATAAGTTACCAATGATCCAGAGTATCGGTTATCAAGCGGTCACCTTACTTAGATTTAAAATTTATATTTTAGTTTATTTTTTTCTTAAAACCTTTTATTCTAAAAGTTGTTAACTTTCAGTTTTATTATTTTTATTTTTTTTTTTTTTTGTAAAGAGCGTGTCATATATCATTAGTTGTCAGTTGTGACAGGCTTGCGGTCGAAGTGCCTGTATCAATTATTACTAGTTGTACTATATTAAATAAAACCTTTCTTCGAAAAGTGTTGCCTTCATATTACCACACTAGCTGTTGTCTGTTGTTCTCTACTCCAAACATTACATCCCCAAAACGAAAACAAACAAAAACTAAAAAATATGAGAATTAAAGAAATTTTCTTATATTTACCCAATCCGTACTCGTCTTTCGGCAAAGTTACTTTGAATTTTTCCGTTTCGGGTTCGCTATTGGTATACTCTATGTCAACAATTAATTGTTTGGTGGATTGAGGTGCTTCCAAAGGTGATAAGCCGTTTGGCGTAGCTTTCCCGCTGTTTACAGGACTCTTACCGTCCAAGCCATTCGAGTTTATCACATTCAAACAATTCTCTACTTGGTCTTGTTGTCTGATTTCAGTTTTCACAACCTACAATCAAAGAGTGGAAATAATAAGAGCAATAAACTAAAATCCATAGAGATAGAGCTACAATCCAATTTGAAAGAATGTAATTCATGGGAAAACTTCTTCATGCACATTATTGTTATTTCAGTGGCTTGAGAAATGTATGACGAAGAGTATAGTATTAGCAAAATTGGTATTGTGCTTTATGTGAACAGAACATCCACAAAGATATCTGACTAGAATGAATATCTCAAAATAAAATTATTTAATCAATGGAAGTGATTGAAGTGTATGTACGTACCTGTAGTGCTTCGGCATATTGAAAAAAAGAAGTGGTATAGCCATTTTGTAATAGTTGCCTGTCTAATTCTTCTGGATCGGTTAAGATTTTTGTAGGAACGATAGGCGCGGTGCAATTGTATAGTAAAAAATCTTGTGAACTAGGTTCCGCCGATCGGGCCACTACCATCCTTACCTACAAAATGTTCAAAATCGGATTCAAACGATTTTTATTGAGTACTGTCAAGTTGAATATTGAAAAATTTTTATAATTTTCAATATATGGCCGTTTTAATTAATCACCCTGTATATTTAATAGAATAAAACCTATTTATTTTAAGTTTAGGTATTTGTTTCTGTTATTTGGAAAACAGTTCACAACGACTTGGAATAAATTTAGAAAAATTATGTACACAAAAATACGGATTTCAGGAATTCCAGGACTTCTACCACTTCTGAATTAATTCCTGGAATTCCAAAGGATTTATTTATTTATTTATTCACGGGCCTTGCCCATTTTCAGTACAAAATTACAAATAAAAACAAAAAAAAATAAAAATCTCAAATAGAGCCAATCTAAATAATGTCATAATAATGATAAACTAACAACAAAAATCATAAATATATTAACATGTACAAAATCGAAACAACTAATATTAAGACTAAGGAATTTAAGTCACAGTAAGTTATAACACCCTTACAAAATTAGAAGCTTGAATTAAAAAATTCTAGACTATCAGCACAAGCATTAGCGCTTCGTGAAAGTCTAGGCATGAATGGAGGCCAGATTAGTTCTCATGTAGGACTAATGAAAACTGTTTATTGATCTTGTGCTTCGAGTTGGGGCTGCCAACAACATGCTTGAAATCAATGTAGGGCAGTCAACCATATAATTAATGAGCTTAAAAAATAATTTCAGATCTGCATGATTTCTTCTTATTCTCAAAGTTGCAGTGTCGCAAAATCATTGAAATAATCATCTAAATATTTGATTTAAATGCTAAGTAGCGAAGTAATTTTCTCTGAAATTGTTCTAATCTATGAATGTGACAAGTATACTGGGGTTTCCAGACTAAAGAGCAATATTCTAGCAGAGGCCTAACAAGATTACAGTACAATAACCTGATAGCATTAAATACTTGTAAAGTCTGATGTGTTTCTCTTTATAAACCCAAGCATACTGTTCTGGGTACTATTGTCACGAATTGTATTTAAAAATAATTAGATTTTTATTAAAGATAAAATAAAGTACTTTCCAAAAATATATTTCAACTCAAATTTTATTAAAGCCATTTTCAAAAAAATAATTTTATTTCAATCTTTTTAATTTCGATTCAATTCCAATTTGTGTTTAATATTACATTTAAAGTTATTTAAAACAATAACAATCTTTTCGTCTAGTAATTAAAAACTTTATTTTATGTTGAAATTAAACAAAGCACTCAATTCTTTTCGTCTAGTAATTAAAAACTTTATTTTATGTTGAAATTAAACAAAGCACTCAATTCGGTTATGCTGACCCCAACATTGTTTTGAAATTGTAGAATCAGCATAACCGAATTGAGTGCTTTGTTTAATTTCAACATAAAATAAAGTTTTTAATTACTAGACAAAAAGATTGTTATTGTTTTAAATAACTTTAAATGTAATATTAAACACAAATTGAAATTGAATCGAAATTAAAAAGATTGAAATAAAATTATATTTTTAAAAATGGCTTTAATAAAATTTGAGTTGAAATATATTTTTGGAAAGTACTTTATTTTATCTTTAATAAAAATCTAATTATTTTTAAATACAATTCGTGACACTTTTGTGTCGATGTGATTGACAAATGGAGTCCATAATAACACCCAGATCTCAAATGGATGCAACTTGAGACACTGGTGTACCCTTGATATATTGATAATCAATCCTGTTGATCTTCCTAATAAAGGATATCGAGTGACACTTAGTGATGTTTAGGTCCATAGCATTATTCTCACACCACTCATTAAGCCTAGCCAGATCAGACAAATTTGAGACAACCCTCAAAAGATGAAACTGCTAGGTAGCACTTTAGGTTATCAGCAAAGCATAAAAATTTGGCAAACTTGAAACATTCTGAGATATCATTTATGAATAATAAAAATAACAAAGGTCCCAAATGGGACCCATGGGGGACTCCAGATGGATTGGGAATGTTTTTACATCTATAATTATTCAATTTAACAGTTTGGAATATTTCAGATAAATAACTCTCCAGCCATTGCAATAATGTTCCCATGATCCCAGCAGTCTCCAATTTAACAAAAGTTTGTGATTCATCCTGTCGAACGCCTTGGAAAAGTCTGCGTATATGGCATGCACCTCACCACCTCTATCCAAGACGTCTGACAGATAGTTGACAAAAGCAATTAAATTCAGTTTTGTAGATTTTTTGTTAAGAAACCCAACTTGTTCTTCTATTACTGATAAACTTAATTTAGATCTTAAGTAATCAGCTACTATCGTTTCAAACAACTTGGGAATGGAACTAAGATTACAGATGGGTTTATAGTTGGATATGTCAGCTCTGTTACCAGACTTGAAAATACGTGAAAGATAGCTCACTTTCCAGAAATCTGGGAATATGCCCAAAGCAAGAGACTTATTAAATATAATGTGAAGTGACCATGAGAGAACAAAACTACAATATCTGAGAACAGAAGGGGGGATACCATCAGGTCCTGGTCCCTTGATAATATTAATACTAGCCATCTCTTCATAAATGGTTAATATAGGAGTAACATACTCAGATATAGAAATGTGATTAAGTGACGGTTTACTTTGAGGATCAATATTCTTATCAGCATATACTGACTGGAAGTATTCTGCAAAAAGATCAGGCTAATCTGGTCCCAAATGACATTAACTATCATTAAAAAATAGCAATGGTGGTAAATTATTCCAGAAGACATATCATAATACTTAAAGAATTACAGGACTACCGAAAAAATTTCAAACAATTATTGATAAGATGAGATTTGTGTTCCTCTGACAATTACAATGACAGTAGATTGGAGTTCAGTGGGTTATGGGTAGGGGAAGAGTGTTGTATTGTGGAACAGGTTCCATAGTGGGACAATTTAAATATCCCACCTCTGTTAGCAGTTAAAATTTTGAATAAATAGGTATCAACCATACACTATGGATGCATCAATTATAACCTTGAGATTATTATTTTGGCTGCGTTTTGGTTGCTGTGAACATCCGAGGCACAGAGTTTTTTTTGGGATATCTTATTTGGCGTAGTTTTAGCTAGTTACAAGCAAAATTATATTATAAATTTAGATAAAATGGTTCCTGAGGGTATCGTTAAGGTAAGTAGTTTTTTTTATTATTGGCTTGTTGACTTTTTATTAAAGAAAGATTTATTAGGGTGCATACTGGTACAAGCATTTTTTGTAAAAGCTTTAAAACAAAACAATTTTGATTTTTCAAGTGAGTAAATTACTTTTTGTTTAAGAAATTAATAGGAAAAAAGAGGACATTCAACAAACACACTTTGAGAATGGTGAAAAAGACCCTTAAGGCGGTTAAAAATTGATTAACTATTAGAAATGCTCCAACTCAATTTAGTGTAAGTTAGTTTTACATAGACATACAAAAAGTTGCAAACATAATTAAGAAAACAAGGAAGATTTAGATTTTCAAAGGATTTATGGTTTTGAGCAGGGGTTTAGTGAAAATGAGGAGCAACTGTTCAGTAAGTATTTGGTTACTTCTTCTCAAATGTGCTGTGGATTATCAAGCAATGAAGCTAGAAGGTTGGCACATGGATAAACCTTGGTGGGTAAAAGAGATATTCCAAAAACATGGAGAAGAATAGTTATTTTTCGAATTTGGCATAATATCAGCTCAAGAACTCCTGAAGCCAGAAATCTAAGCCTAACTAGTTTTGACAGACATAATGTTGATCTTACTTAAAGATGTGACCCAGTTTAAATCCAAACCAAATTTTAAATAGTGACAAAACAGTGTACCTAGTTATTTTAGTCTTTTTTTAAGATTCCCATGGCAGGGCGAAGATTATTTATGTTTTTAATTATTATTATTTAGTAAACTTATATATTGTGTAGAAAACAAATGCTTAACATTTTCCTATTTTTGTTTAGAACCCCAATTTTGTATAAAAAGAAAACTATTCCAGTATACACATATTTAAGTCAACCTAAACAACATGGGGTGGTTGCATAATTTATTTATTTATTTATTTATGGACAAGCCTATTTGAGAAATAAATTACAATTTTAAATTATAATTAAAATGTAGTGAAATAGATATGGTGATGAAATACAAACGTGGTATAATTCATTACATATAGACTAAAATAGGTAAAAAATTTAAAAGATTTCAAAATACAAAAGACAATAAGGTTGAATAAAAAATTTACATTAAACATTAAAAATTAAAGATCAAAGATTACGGCTCAGTACTAAGTAATTGCTTTTTAAATTTATGAATGGAGGTGTTAAATATCTCAAGATCATTATGAGTGTTAACATCCTTGGAATACAGCTGCTAAAAGTATTGTTTAAACGATAAAAAAGGTACATAAAATGTTTGTTGCTGACTAGTTGAGCCAGTTGGAACATAAAGATTTATTTTTGTTAGAAGTTCAGTACAGCTGCATCTACCATTGATAATTTTGAAAAGTAATGCCAGGTCTCTCTGTTTCCTCCTAGTTTCCAAAGAGGGGATGTTTAGAAAATTTTCTATCAAACCATACAAAGGTCACCCAATTTATAGGCTCTGTATCTAAGAAATTTATGTTGCACATTTTCTATGTTTCTGCTGTGCATTATGTAATGTGGAGACCAGACAGAAGAGCAATAATCTAGGTGAGGTCGGACTAGTGAACAATAAAGGATTTTGATTGCAGTTGTGTCAGTAAAATCATGTATTAGCCTAACATTTTCATGGATTTATGGATAGTCTTAGGTATGTGTTGGTTGAAGCTTATAGTGGGATCTAGAATCCAAGGTCTTTAATTTGATTAACAGACTCCAAGATATGACCATTTGAGTTATAATTAAAAGTAGTAGTTGGTACATGGGATCGATAAAAGCAATGACATGGCCCTCTATGGCATTCAAATCCATGCAATTTAAGGAACACCAGTTTGATAGATTATCAAGGTCAGACTGAAGCCAGAGGGCATCATAAATGGTTTAAATTTTTAGATCATCTGCAAACAATATTGCTTTGCCATACTGAAAACAATGAATGATGTCATTATAAGTTGAATAATAAAGGACCAAGGTGTGATCCTTGAGGAACACTTGAAATGAGTTAGAATAGTGATGGTTCACTCTAACCATTTGAGTTCTGTTCGTAAGACAGCTACTAATCTATTGCAGTCCGACCTCATTTATGCCATATTTATCAAGCTTTTGAAGTAAGAGAGAATGGTTGACCCTGTCAAAAGCCTTAGAAAAGTCAGTGTACACAGAATCAATCTGGCAACCCTTCTCCAAAGCTTCCAACAGGAAGTCGATGGGAAAATAATTTTAGTGGGGCATCCAATATTTTCTAATTTTTATGTTACATTTGTATAATTATTGCACTTATTAATAAGCAAACCCATAATAAATATAAAACTATTGTCCCAGTATATAATAGTCACCCCTACTATATTTTCTAAGGACTGGCTTATATTAATATGAAAATAGTCCAGGCAGGTTTATCCTGTATTATATCTGGTGAATTAACCACTAATATGTATCCATGTTCATGAGCTTTCTCTAATATTTACAGTTAAGATCAATTGAATATCAAATGGTTTAATTCTCAACAAATTAATAGAATATATCAATATATTCCATACAATATCTAATTATTTATTGTGGATATAGTGTTTATTGAAATTTCCTATAAATTGATATACGTTTTTATTTAAGTAGGTAAATAAATCTCTGCCAAATTATACTAAAAACAAAAAATGTACCGATATTTCACAATACACACACACAAATCAACAAAATACTACTAAGACATATACTACTAACACACACAAGTGCAATGTACTATGAAATCTTACATATCAACATTTTGGTGTAGAGTTTAAAAAAGGGTAACCACACCTGCTGTCCAGCCTGTCTCAAAACGGTGGCCACTTGGTCCGCTGTCAGTCCCCTCAAATTAATATCGCCTATCTGAAGGATGTGGTCGCCGCTTTGCAATCGGCTGTCTTTGTCGGCTATGCCGCCAGGTAGGATGGATTTTATAACGACTCCAGTGCTCCGGCCCCCTACAATACCAAAACCAAGACCGGAACCATCATTTATCAGATCGATCACCTCTACTTGAGACCACTCTGTGCTGAGGACCATGTTTTTTGTTATAACACATTTCTTTTAACAATCACCCCCTTACGTTTTCGGTTATTTTTGTTGAATCAATATCACCGATATGTTCGAATTTAAAAAAGCCATTGTTTGGCTACTTCGAATTAGAACGGATTTAGATCACTGGTATGCAGAGCGTTCTAGAAGTATTTCCAACGAAACTGTATATTTAGTTTGTGTAAACATTATTAAATAAATATTTTAGTTTCGTTTATAGTTAGACGAAATTGGAAATTATTTTATTAGTGCTTAAAAATATACTTTTGACGTTTATTTGACAATGACGCGTAGTTTCGTTAGTTTGGAGTTCGAAGTTCGGAGCAAAGAACACTTGCTCGGAAAAATGCATTCAAAGATTTCTTTTTGACGTTAACAGAATAGCTCGAGGGTAATACTTAAACAAATAATATTTGACAGTAATATTGGATTTTCGGTCAGGAGTGGGTTGGCCCAAAATGTTATATAGATCGATTTTTTTATTTAAATAATTACAGTTAATTAACTTTAGAAAAAACCTTCCAGGTTCATAAAATATAAAGGAATTCTATCATATAACAAGAGTTTGCTATATTTAATATAGGTTTGTGATCATATTTTTGTACACTCGATATTACAGTAAAAAAAAATAAAGCAAAAACTTTTAACTTTAAGAAATTTCAAAGATCTTGATATCGAACTTTTTAAAAGAGATTTGTCCTTGTTCCCTTGGGATAACATTTTTTTCATTGATAATATTAATGAGAAAGTAAAATTTTTAACCGATAATATATTACTCATTTTTGACATCCATGCCCCTTTTAGAACTCTTAGAGTCAGTAAACCACCAGCTCCTTGGCTTACAGATAACCTAAAATGAATCCTTAAAGAAAGAGACAAAGCATTGTCTAAATTTAATTCACAAAAAACTCCTGAAAATTGGGACTACTATCAAATGTGCAGAAATTTTGCTTTGGCTTCTATCAGAAGAGAAAAGGCAGCATTAGATACATTGCAAAAATGATAAAGCTTTGTGGAAAGGTCTACATAACATGAACATTCGTTGCTCTACTTCGAATGTATAGTGACCTTCAACATTATGTAATCCGTCTAAAATTAATGATTATTTTCTTAGTGTTTTTTTATAAATCAGACCAGTGTAAAGATAAAATATTATTTTATTCAAATAACCAATTTGGTAACAGCACGTTTGCATTTAACCTCGTTACTCAAACATAGTGTTCGATGCTATAAACTCTATCAAATCAAATGCTAGTGGAAGAGATGGTAGTATTTCATTGCATATGATAAAGTTATGTTGGCCAATAATTGGCGATTATAGCACTCATATCATAGACTGTTGTCCTAAGCCTAAGCCAGATTCTGTCCGTGATCTTCGTCCAATAAGCTTATTACCAGTTATCTCTAAAATTCTTAAAAGAGTGGTATACTCTCAATTGTATGAATATGTTTCAGCAAACAGCATTTTACCTAGCGACTACTCCAAAGCGTTTGATTTAATTGACCACGATTATTTGCTGTGTGCTAAACTCAAATATTGTGGTTGCGACCATATAGTATTATCTTTTTTTAAGTCATACCTATGGAAGCGGTCCCAGCGAGTATCTGTGGACAATAATCTTTCGATGTCTAAAAATATTGTGTCAGGTGTACCTCAAGGGTCTATTTTGGGCCCATTACTATTTCTTATATACACATTAGACTTACCTAAAATAATAAATAATAGCTTATTACAACTCTATTCTGATGACACACAATTAATACATATTTTTGATCCTTTTGACGTTGATAACGCAACAAACTCAGTCAATACTGACCTAACTTTGATTACGCAGTATTCTAAAGATCATAATTTGACCATTAACCCATTAAAAACGACTGCTGTTTTGTTTTGCAGTAAAGCTAAACGAGATACTATTGAAAGCTTTTTAAAACTAAAATTGGATGGCGTTAATATTAATATTTCTGAAGAGGCAAAAAATTTAGGTTTACTTATTACTCTATATTAACAAGCACATTTTGAATTTCAAAACTCGTAAAAAGCTATGTGAATGTCTAGTTCTTTCACTACTAAATTATTGTAGTTGTTTATTTCCCCTATTTAGATAAGCTCTTCCAAAACCAGCTTCAGCGTGTTCAAAATAACTGCTGAAGATATGTATATAACTTAAGAAAATTTGATCATATCTCACATTACTTCTCTCAACTTAAATGGTTAAAAATTTGTAATTTGTTCACCTTACATTTTATTAATTTTCTATTCCGGTTAATTAAATTCAAAAGTCCGGTATATCTATTTGAAAAAATCATTTTCCGTAATGCTGTCCATACACGTAATATAAGACAGAATACTCTTACCATGCCCCACCACTCTTCTGCTAAGTTTGAAAGATCGTTCACATACAACGCAGTAAGTTTATTTAATACCTTTCAGTTTATAAACTGGAGTTGTTCACTATCTAGTTTTGTTTTTTTTTTTTAACTAAGTTAGTGGCACTGGATATAAACCAACAGGCCAGTCAATTGTCAGGTGAACAAACTAGTTTTCGACTCAATTGAAAAAGTTATCTTTTAAGTCAACAATAACGTTTATATCACTGTTTATGTAAAAAAAGTAAATTTTGTGTCTCTAAATTAATTTTAATTTGTTTTGTATAAGTATCTATTTAGATTAAGTAATGAAAATCTGATATGTTAAGAGTTAGAGTAGCTTGAAGCTAATCTTCGCCTATCCGGTGCAAATGTAAATTTGTTCAATAAAGACATTTTTATTTATTTATTTATTTTATTGAGCCCACCATCAGTAGCGGCTGCCCACTGCCCACCACCTACAGTTTTGTGAACTGACTATCCCATTTGAAGCAAAAGTAGTCTCGTATGTCCATAAAATTTGACAAGGAAAATTGAATATTCTTCTATTTAGATACCGAAAAGAGAAATGAATGGCTTGAATTTATTTTTGTGTAAAACTTCAAATCTATATATCGAAAAAAATATATTATCAGCAACTGTCATTTATATTATAAAATTGTTACTAAATAAAGGATTTAATAATACAAATGAAAACATAAGAAAGCATTTTATTTATTAAATAAAACAGTTTTTTAAATATCAAATTTATTCATCGAATAACAATCCATAAGTTCCCATAGCTAAAGCAACGTCAGTCTGATCCCAAAATCTGTGGTAAGTAAACTTAGGAGCTGGTCCACCATTTAAATAATTTTCGATCTTATACCATTGAGGATCCTTTTTATAAAACGATCTAATACCGACAAAAGTAGCCGAGCTATCAATGACGTCACCGTTTGGATACATCCCGGTCCAACCGTCTGGTACATAAACTGTCTCGTTAAAAGAATAGTCCGGTTGTTCTTCAACTGCCACACCTAAATCATCTTTGTAGTTATTCCACATGGTGTCTAGCAAATTTTTAGCAAGGTTTTTAGCTTCTTGGTTGTTGGATCTGGCTGCGTAGTAAGATAAGGTTCTAGCTGTTGCAGCAGCTGGTCCAACACCGTTGCCATAGTAACGAATTTTGCAGTGAACGTTTGGAGGTGTACCTTCCCAATCTAGAGTGCTGGGCATTTGATATCCAGTTTCTGTAACAGTGGTTTCTTTTATTATCCACGCTACCCATTTATCTAGAATGCTTTTAACTTTCTCATCGCCGGTTACATAGTAGTACTGGGCTAGACGGTCTGTAGACCAAGGCTGCATACCAAACCATTGGTTTGATGGCGGATTGTAAGCAACTGGTTCCCAATCATACCACATCCCGTGGAAAGTATTTTCCTTCAACTCAGCTGGAGGTTCTTCGTATCTATCGTTCCAGTTGTTATTGACACCACCTGCGAAAGCGCCTTCAACAGATTGCAGGTACTCATACAATTCTAATTGCCTGTCGAGAGATTTTTTCCAGTCTTCAACAGCGGTGGGCGATTTGGGCGTCATATTTGGTTCGTTGATCAAAGCGTAAGCTGCCATTGGATTCTGGTAACCGAAATGGGCGACTCCTTCTGATATTCTCCAAGAATAACCGTATTCAGTGGCTATGGAACCACCCCAACCGAAAAACCAGCCGAGGAGGTAATGAGCGCTGTCGTCTTTGCCGGTACCGCCCGGGCATTTATACGGATCTATGCAGTTGCCAATGCGTTTGAAGTACTTGTCGAAGAAAGAGTAACGGATGTAGTCACCCAGTTTGCTGGCTTTTGCTAGTGTGTCTGTTATTTGAGATAGTTGTCCACTAGCTGTAGCCCATCTGTAAAAGAAATAATAATTGATTAGGAGAAGTATTCCTATTAGAAACAAGAGACACTGGTATTACAAAAATTTAACAATTAAAGGGCATATTGTAAAAACGTGATAAGCCACACTATTTAAAATAAAGGCATTTTTACTTCACGACAATAAAAAATAAGGTTACAAAAACTTGAACCAAATGAAAATTCTACAACAAATATCATAATTAGCCGAAAACTCAAGTTATTGCATTTAAAAAAAGTTGCAGTAGTTATAGAAGTTAATTTTAACCTTTGATGGCGTGTTTCTTTAATAAATTAGAGTTGTGCATGGCTTGTCATGTTATTCCAATAAGCCCTTCAATTATACTATTAGTGATACTATAGCAGTCAATAAGAAAGCTTTGAAGGTGCATCTGGTGTATTCCAATAGGATTCTATATTAGAGCAGTACTGTTTTCTTTCTAATATTAATGATACACTTTCTTTTTATCGAATCATCAATCAAATTTCTTTTTGTTTGCTTATTAATTAAAATCAATAAATGATCCCAATATGGAATCCTATTCTACATACCTGGAAGCCCAAAAAGCAGCTTGGATAGCCCTAGCGTCTGCGTCAGGTGCTACTGAGTACTTCCAGTTGGGAGAATGATCTCCTGCAGAAAATAAATCGCCAAAACCGAGTTTACCGCCGTATTTAAAGTTATCACAAGTTGGTTGAGGAATGGTTTTAAAAGCGTTCTCCCTCGGACCCCGCTGGTAAGTGTTAATAAAAGATGGTCCAGGCTCATCAGGTCCTAATTGGCAATTCCCTGGAGAATTACCAAATCCATAAACGTTATCCACATCTGTCAACCAGTGCATGGCATATATATCTGAAGTACCGTATGTATCGACGAGTTCTTGGTACAAAGGATCTACTCCAACTGGTGCTGGTGGGGTAACAGGACCTATGGGGTAATCTTCAGGTACGTTCCCTCCAGGTCCATACCCAGAAGGATGACTAGCATTGTAAAGGTTGGTGTTTGGTTGACTGGCGTGTACTGGTATGATGTACTTCTCCATGATCTCCCAAGCTTCGTTGAATTTTGAGAAATCATTAGTGATGCCTCCATACATTGATTCCAACCAAATGTAGTAACTGTGTGCTTCCGATGTTGTTTCATGACCATAGTCTGAAGATTCCACTACTAGAGTTTCAACTGCATGGTAGGGGATGCCTTTTGAAGAGAAGTATCCATTAGATGGGTTGTGCATCTTGTTGTACTGCTCCAAAAAACGTTGTTTATACACCCCCTGAGCACTTATACATGTCACTGCACCCAGTATGAGTAAAAATATATAGAGATTCATTATAATAAATAATTAAACATCTAAACTAAAATCTTTTTTGTGAAGACTGAAATATTTTTAATACATTTTCGGAAATTTAAAGCATACATAAGAGCCCACTCCAGAGATTAGATATTATGTAGATTTTAAAAATATTGTTTTTCAAGTTTAAAACAATGGATTTTTTTAAGTGTAACGCGTGCTACTTTTAATGCGTTAGACTTTGATTTATTTTAAAATAAATATGAATGATGACGATATTGGAATTAGTTTGAGAATATGGATGGATAAACTTGAGTGGATATTAATTACCAAACAGATTTGGATGGTATCCAAGGTAGTGTTGTTTTATGTGATTTCAGTTTTCAAGAATCTGAAATCTGACCATCTGTTTGAAGGTTTTATTAATTGGGTCATTTGAGGTGATCAACAAGCGACAATGCTGGTCAATGTTGTGTAATACATATATTGTTTGTGCTATTTTTTTTATAAATAATTATTATGCTGAATAAAAATCACTTTTTTAAAATTTTTATACGTTGAAAAGTTCTGCAAGTTTTTATATTCATTTAAGTCTCAATCTTAGAATTTAATAAGTTAATATATTGAAATGAAGATAAAGGTTTTATAAAAACTATTAAGTAGATTAACGTTATAAAAAGTACTGCAGTCTTGTTTTGTTAATGCTGAATTATAATAAAAAGGTTTTCTAGTGTATAGACAAAATTAATTTTGATGTTTTTATAAATAAAATAAAATGAATAATAACTCTCCTTGAAACTAGTTTGTTTATTTTGTAATGCCGCAAGCTAAAAATCATATGATTCATGAATTATATTTTTATTAAACCGGTAATTAAAATGTTTTGTTAGTTTTTTTTTTTAAACTCGTTCTATCAGAGTGATTTTTATTTATTTATTAACAATTTAGGAAACAAACAGGAACAGGATGTATTTATAAAAGTAAGGTGACCCATTCTTAAGAATGTTTCCAACCATTGAGTTACAATAGACTTTGTATTAAAAACATAGTTTCTATTTCTGAGAACAAACACTAAATTTTTTAAATATTTCTGAACAATATTGGGTAATAAATAGTTTTTGAACCAGTTTTCAAAGAGTTCTGCGATTGGTAATCCTTTATCCTTTATGTTTTTTACCGATAACAATAAACCATTTGGAATCAGACCTTTTTCTGATCCGGCATATGGGTATTATTATTATTATTGTGTTAAAAAATTAAATGCCTAATCTACTTCAGCAATAGCATCAAGTGGTGAACTTTCGGTTGATCTACTTTTCCCTCAGAGGTGAATTTACTTCTTCCTTTCTCAGGTCTTTTTTCTCTATTTTTTTGTAACTAACTGTTAGCCGTAGTTTCCTTAGATCCTACTGCTCTATACCTACAGTAATATACTGCAGGATCAGCTTTATACAAGAATCCATCTATTTATCATAACCTCGGCAGCATAGAACATCTTAATGGTCTTATTTCAGCATTTAGAGCAGGGAGTCCCAAACTATTTTGGACAAGAGACCCCTTTTCCAAAATGAACTGATACCTCAGACCCCCATAGCTAAATTATTGTATCGACCACTTTGGGAATCCCTTGAGAAATATCGAATGTCCTATATAGAGCATTAATAGAGGCAATTCGTACCCGTACTCATGCTTAAATTGAGCAGCTTCGGTATGAAGTAGGCATGAAAGTCCAAATAGCACACGACATCTGGAAGACGTCTTTTTTGTGTCTTGGTTTGGTCTTAATGTCCTAGGACGTTATTAAGACGTGTTATAAGACGTCTTGCAAAAGCCTTAATTCAGACGTATTAATGTAAGAGCTCAAAGACGTTCTTAAGACGTCTTATGGCTTATTTATGGCTTCACAAGACTATTATATAAGCTATTAATAAATCGTCTTAAAGACGTCTTATTTATGGCTTATTTAAAGCTACACAAGACCATTATAAGCCATTAATAAGTGCTCTTAAAGACGACTTATTTAAGGCTTCACAAAACCATTATAAGCTATTAATAAGTCGTCTTAAAGACGTCTTATTTATGGCTTATTTAAAGCTTCACAAGATCATTATAAGCCATTAATAAGACGTCTTATTTAAGGCTTCACAAGACCGTTATAAACTATTAATAAGTCGTCTTATTTATGGCTTATTTTAAGCTCTACAGACCAATATAAGCCATTAATAAGACGTCCCCTTTTGTAACATCAGACGTCTTTCAGGTAATGCCAGACGTCTTAAAAACGTCTCATATGTCTTGTGCTAGACGTCTTAAAGACGTCTTTAAGACGACTTTGTACTATCTCTAGGCCGAGCTCTAGGCATGAAGTAAATATTACACTTAGCTCTCTGCACTTGAGATTGACTATTGATAACACAATCCAGTATGTTCTGTAAGCTGATATCACTAATATTGAAGATCTGACTGGCCAAATTGTTTTTTGCGGCAGTACCTAAAGAGTGTCATGTTATCTTTAACATGTAGGGCAATCGAGTTATTCAAAAAACTAAACTCCATCATGAGACAGTATTTATAACCGGAACATACCTAAAATCGAACGCACGATAATGATGTCATTTAGAAATTGATCAATTATGGCTATATTTAAAAGCCATTAACAAAGGATTTCCCTTCCGATAACGCAGCCAGTTTACCAAAATATGACGTTAACCACTTCGTTTAAATCGTACGCGTTTCGAAACTTTCATAATCAATTCAGTACGCTGACGCGCATCATAAGAAAACTACCTATATCTGCATCGAAAATGACCAACGTCCATGGGATTTGTGCGATTTTCTTCGATCTGGACAATACGCTGATTCAAACGAGAAAAGGAGATGAAAAAGCTTGCGATAAGGTACTGCCATCTTTGTTTCTAACGCATCTTTGTTCGATTTTACGAATGCAATTTTGAATTGAAAGTGTTAATTTTTGGTGGAATTGACTGTAGCGTGCGTAATCGAGAACGATCAGCTGATTCGTGATGAATATGCAATGCGGCGTTGCCGCGTTTAATAAAAGTTGTTAGACGAGTTTTGATTCAAAATTGCAATCGATAATAATTGTATTGGCTAGGGTGAATATGTAACGATAATGCATGTTGGAATTTTTATTATCAAATTAATATATTTTTTTTGTTGTAAATCAATAAATCAACGAAGATTTACATCTTATTGACAGAGCAAATTAAAATAATATAAAAGAATGAAAACAATGTAAAAAACGCGAAATATACGAAAATATAAAAGATAAAATAAACCAATAATAAAACAACGATTAATAATTAAAAAAATATATAACATTAATAATAGGGGGTGAGTTGGCTCAGTGGTTATATAGAATCATGACATTGAGATCGAAGGGTCTAACGATTCGAATCTCGCCGGTATTTTTATATTTTTTGTTCATGATCACTGACGTTTCCAAAATATCTAGTCGTTAAAAATGCTGTTTTTATATTGATATAGAATAAAATTAAATAGAATGAAAGAACATTCCAATCCAGTGCTAATATTTTAAACGGAATTAAATATATTGCCAAAAGTGGTGTTAATAATAGCAAAGATCTATTTAATTTAGATAAATATCCAATGACAAAGGAAAACAAAGCAATTGTTTTTAAAATATAACACGTCTTTACCTTCTGTTGAACGAATGTGACGGATCAAAATTTAGAGAATTTAGTTTTGTTAAAAACAAATAGTTCTATATATAAATTTAATATAATTATAAATTATCTACGTATTTAAATTTTTATGAAAAGTAAAATATATATTTTTAGTAGGGTTTGTTTTTCTTTATTGCAGACAAATATATATACTTATTTTTTAAATTAACTCTTAATATATTTGCTTCAAATACTTTTCAATAAGTACTTGAAGCCTTTAAAGAGCTTCAAATACATTTCCATAAGCATTTGGTGCCTTAGTTTTCAGAAATACTGTACTTGGTAATTGAAGCACTTTTATAAATGAAAGTATTTCATAATTAATACTTTAAAACACTTTACGAAAGAACTCGGTACTTTACCTAGCTCTGAATGGTTTATGATATTTTTCCCTCAGTTTTTTGTTGTTAAACAAAGCTCACACCGTATCACCTTCTTTGGAACCCTGTCTTATATTTCTACCATATCAATAAAGATCTAATGCTCGATTGTTTCGGCATTAACTTGATGAAAATCCATATTATCAAAATGATAAAAACCTAACATGGTAGATTTTCACAAACACTTTAAAAAATTAAACTTAAAAGTTTCAGAAAAATATCAAAAAGAACTAAAACGTTACATTCCGAATTCAACAGCAGTATTTGATTCTGAGAAATATTCAAAGTAATACAGATGAATCCTCAACCACCATAACTTTATGCTTTAATTAAATTACACAAAGATAACTATCCTATTAGACCAGTTGTATCATTTGTAACATAAATTAATTAAACTTATGCAAGAAAGTTGACAATTCCATTTAAAATACAATATAAACATTTCTTATGAATTAACAAAAGCTTAAAACAAAATTATTTTCAATTTCAAAATAAGATCTACTCAGCAGATGAAGGTCTTATTATGGGGAACCCATTAAGCTTGCAAAAATATTTATGGATAATATAGAACATAAAATTCACATCAATAATATAAGTAAACATTGCCTTTATTTCAGTTCCAATAAGCCTCTTCCCAAGAAATTAGGTAAAATTGTCCTAATGGTCAGATTTAAATTAAAATAACATTAGGGTAGGTACTAAATTTGTTACAAATATTGCAGTTGAATTGATTCTTTGCAAGTGTTGACATTGTATGTATATTGTAAATTTAGTGGAAATTTTAAAAATGCCTAGACGTGTGTTAGATGTAGATAGTCTGATTTGTAGTGTATATAAGTATTTTACGGATGAAAAAGAAAATGGCGGTCCTTTAAAATCGGTCTGTACAAAAACGCGTATGCGATGCTCTAGGAATTAGTGAAATCAAATTAAGAGGAGTATTACAAAATCACAATAGTGAACTGCCGAAAGAAGATCACTGCAAAACTCGCCCATTATTAAAAACGAAAGATATTCCAGATGGAAAGAAATTTGAAATTCGTGATACCATTTATCGAATTAGGGCCAACAAGAAACATGTGACCTTAAATACAATTCTCTCGGAATTAATAAATAGAAAATTTGACGACATTGGCAGAACACTTCTACGGTAAGTGATACATAACTTGGGTTTCAAATTTCAAAAGGAGGATAACAGAAAGGTCCTTTGTGAAAGAAGTTCTGTCGTGCACAAGAGAATTCACTTTCTAAGAAAATATTCTAAATAATTTTCAAATAATTACATGCTTACCAACGAACAGCATTTGATTTTTATTTATAAAGAACTTATAGAAAGAAGATTGTGCTTGTAGATAATTTAAATTGGTGCGCTATTAGAGCAAGTCCGTCTCTGTTAACAGTTGCTTATTCATTAGATGTTGGAAAAGGTTACTAAATATGACAACACCGCTTCGCGCCTCCAAGTTCAACCTGTCGAATGGAAACCGAAAATGTGAGGTTATGTCGAAACGAAAATCGTGTATACAACGTTCTGTAAAATCTAAAAATAAGTAAGTCGATACCGATGCTGTAGAAATGACCGAATATAGAAGTCCGTAATGCCCGTCATCCAAAAATATCTTAATACTGTGAAGACGCACGAGTCACCACGAATGTTTTAGTGTAGTGTCTCGATGAAACGACTCCGGGCCGCGAGAAATTCAAAATTTTGATTTTGGAGTTTGTTAGCGTCGGTCGTACACGATGGGCGAAGTATCAGACGCTGTTAAAAAGTGTTGCAACATATTGAAGAACTCTGGTAGTGATACCGAAAAGTTCGCAGCTTTGTTTATGGTTACGAAATTAGTGAAAGGCAAGCACGCTACACCGAATGCGAAAAAAGCTATTTTCGAGTCTATCGGTTTCGATTTTCTGCGAAGATTATTGTTGGCTACGGATGTTCCGGTCGATTGTCCACCTTCCATATACAAATCCGTTGCTCTATCGATAATATCGGTGTTTTGCAATGAAGAAGAATTGGCTACGAAAAAGGAAATGTTGGAATTCGCGCCAGTATTCCTCGATATAGTGAAAACCGCCGATGATGCCGCGAATGACGACAGTTTGATGGCTATTGGCGAAGCCTATAACTGCCTAAAAGGCATTGCAGCATATGCACCCGGTCAAAAAAAGCTCATCGAAAGCCAGGCTGTAGATAAACTAGGAGAAATATATTCCCAAGGTTGTTTTCAATCAGACGAAGCGCTCAACATCATGGCTGTCCTAATCGCTAAAGATCCCAAATCCTGGAATAATAAAGACCCCAAAGCATATCATGCCTTACTCAATAAAATCTCTGTAGACTTCGAAACGGATCAAGATAAAAGAAAATTCGAAATCTGCGAAGTTCTGCACGCTCTAGTATTCAACTGTCCAAGAACTAACATTCTAGAATATGCCCAAACCGAAATCTGGCCCCATAGTGTCTACAAAGGCTTGTGTGACATCCTCCAAAGCAAAATAGGTCCTGCTCAAAGAAATCCAGCTCTTTTACTCACTTCCAGCGCTTTAGAACTGTTGGGAATTGAATGGATATTCACTGATGAAGACAAAGGTAAACAAATATTTCTACTGTTGATCCAACTGGCTGCCATCGAAATCAGAATGCAATTGGAGAATAAAAACTTGAAATCTTTAGCTGCACATCAAAATTTAATAACAGCTTGTTATTTGATATTAGAGTTGTGCATAAATTATATCACTGAAGATAAAATTGATTTGGAAGAAAAAGAAAAACAGACTTTGTATACAGGATTGAAGGGGGCTTTTACTGCTATCGCTGGATTGATGGGGAAAATTGATGCAGATAAATCCAAACCTTCAAACAGTGATAAACTGTTTATTTGTGCTACAATACGGGTGTTAGCAGCTTGGTTAGCTCAAGAAACAACAGCAATGAGACCACAGATATATCAGTTACTCCCATTTATTCTTGAACTAGCTAATGAGACTTTCTACGCCTGCAGAGATAGAAGATTGGCTGAGAAATTAGGTACACCCCATGAAAATAACCCCTTGAGTAATGTAGATACTCTAAGAGTATTTTTACCAGCTTTATGCCACTTGGTTGTTGAAGATGACGCTAGAAGAGCGTTTCTTAAAGTTAAAGAAGAAAAAGTGTTATTAGACGTCCTAGAATTCCACTGGACCATTGTACATTACAAAAGACCACCAGTTCCAAGATCTGAAAGACTTAAAGCTTTGAATACCCCAATAACCTTCACTGCAGAGATGCTTGAAGACCAGAAAGACTCCAGAGCGGCTATGATAAGCACCTGCAACATTCTAATGAATTTAACTGTATTAGAACCAAAAATCGTCGACCAATCTGAAGTTTTTGACAACTTATCCAAGTTCGTTTTTGAAAATTTGCCTGAATTGAAGGATATACCTGAGAATTTGGTGCTGCATGGCAATTTATCAGTGTTGGGGTTGCTGTTGTTGAAACAGCTGTCAAATAAAGTAAAAAAGAATGATTTTTCTTTATGCAGATTCATCCAAGCAACTATCAGATTCCTATGGGATGCTTACACCATTGATCAATCTTCGAGCGATCCTTCTGAACTGGTGGTCGCCATGGCTTATAAAGAACATTGGATGGAATTAACGGATTTGTGGTACCTGGGAATGCAAACTATATCTGGGGTACTCAAAGGCACCCCTTGGATATCAGAATTTGCTATAGAAAGCGGTTGGGCTGAAGGCATTTGTCAATTGTTGAAGAAAGTTAAACATGGTGCTCTTCCACCTAACGTGAAATCCGCTTTTGAGGACTTTTTGTGCCACCTTGTAGACGCGAACAACAGCGTTGTGGAGGTTTTGAAGAAAGCTGATGCCTTGCAAGTGTGCAGAAATCACAGACTGATGGATTTGGGGAAAAAATTGTTTGGGGATTAAGCGTTTGCATTGTAGTTTTTTTTTTTAATTATTTGCTAAGTACTTTCTTTTTGTGGCACAATATTTTATTCACTCATAGAATGTAAATAGTTGAATTTTGTTATTATTTATTTTAATATTTGTGCCATTAGATTTAAAAAGGTAAACTCAAAATAAATGCTAAGCAAAAACATGCTCATTAAACTGTGTTGAAAAACTAAGTCTATATCTGCATTTGTTTTTTTTAAGCATACATTTTTGTACAATTTTTATAATATGAACGCTCTTGTATATTATTAATAATAAAACTATTTATATATTGTTGTTGTGTGTATCATTTTGTGAATTCTAGACATTCGTTTCTTAAAATAGCCTGTATTTTGGAAGTAAACACCTCCACACAGTTTGGTTTAAATTTAGATAACTTTGTTTGGGTGTGTGAAACATCTGTACTTGTTTATAGGACAATTGTATACAAGGTGGGCACTTTTTAATCGAAATGTTTTGATATTTTGTAAACCGTTCCTAACAAAAATTTAGTTAAATGTGGTAAAAGTTGTGTATTTCGAAGCCCAATCTGAGAACTTTTTGAAAATCAAAATATGTAGACCGGTTTCTGAGATATTCGATAAAATATCAAATTAGTTCCATTTATTCCACTATAGAACGTTTATTTTCAAAAATAAACAAAAACTTATTGAAGGTTTTTTGTTTTATATCGAATTGCGCATAAGATGGCGTTACTTTTGTTATCCCACGTTTCGTAAATGTAGAACCAACATCAACTTCTTTATTTGGTTAAAAATATACAATGAGCATCATAAGTCTTACCTCCCCTAACTAACTCGTTACTGAGGTCTTGTTAGGAAAATCGCCGAGACAGGTCGATTTTTGATTTCTACAATGTACATTTTTGCAAGATTAGTTTACCCTTAATTTCATCCCTTACTGGAGGGTAGCAACCCTTTCGAAAAATTTAAATGGCATGGGGTAGTGAGTGATAGCTCATTTGAAAGGGGGTTTTATTCCCTATTCAACCGTGCAAAAAATTTCAAAATTTGCTTTATTACGTGTTGAAAGCAACTAGACTAACAGTGACCTTCTAATGGCAAAAAGTCTTACTTCACGTCTGAACCAAAATCGAAATCATGCAGGGCCGAATTTTAATTCTAAGGATGAGTGCGCTACGTTAATTTCCGTTATTCTGAAACAACAATTAGTCGAGAATTAATGAAGCAAATTTCAAATTTTTTTACTCCGTTGAATAGAGAATAAAACCCTCTTTCAAATGAGCTATCACCCACCACCCCATGCCATTTAATTTTTTCGAAAGGGTTGCTCCCCTCCAGTAAGGGATGAAATTAAGGGTAAACTATTCATACGAAAATGTACATTGTAGAAATCAAAAATCGACGTGTTTTGGCGATTTTCCTAACAAGACTCCAGTAACGAGTTAGATAGGGGGGTAAGACTTATGGGTGCTCACTGTATATATACATAGGCGCACCGAAAAAAGGTCAGGAAAATAAAAAAAATATTTGGTAGCTATTGATTTATTTTTTAAGTTCATACATTACAAATATAGGTAAGTAAAAGATTTATATACCAGTGTGTCGCATTTAATTTATTTATTTATTTATTTATTTATTTATTTATTTATTTATTTATTTATTTATTTATTTATTTATTTATTTATTTATTTATTTATTTATACATTGTTCAACAGGTTAAACCCAATTACAGAACAGGAGTACATTTGGAAGAAAACAGTTTAACAAAAAGCATATAGATAATTAATCTAAAATTACAGTAAATAAATTCTAAATTATTTTAAACAATTTGTTTTTATGTTTTTAACACTGCAATTAAATATATCCAACTGTTCACTAATATTATTTAAGATGAAGATATTTTGTATATCTAAATAATTACAAATTTGAAGTTTTGCACAGTCATACAGGGTGATGATTCACATTTTTTAAGATACTCAACTTAAATTTAAATTTTAAACGAAATTTGATATGTGGGGTTAGAATAATATTCGGAACAACTTTTTCAAATAACTTTTTCTGATATCTCTAACGCGAAGAAAAATATCGAAAATTGATCCTGTTTGTGGATTCGCAGAAGGCCGCGTTTATAATTTAAATTTCAGTTGAGTATCTTGAAAAATGGGAACCATCACCATGTATAACTGCAAAATTTCAAATCTGTAATTATTTAGATAGCCAAAATATAGGGGTGTCTTCATCTTAAATGCGACACACTGTATATAAAAAAATATTTACTTATCTTTTCAAATGAAAACCTTTTTGTCTTTTATAGTTTTAAAATTTCAGTTAATACATTTAAGAGTATAAAATAATCTTTACGGAATAATTTTATTAAATAATTATGTGGAAATTTTTCACATGGATGTGGAAAACTTGTTTTTCTACAAATACTTTGAAACGTATCTATTATATTTTTGTGTATAATAATAGTTTCAAAATTCATTTGAAATACCTCTAAAAAGGAGATAAATTTTACAAAATCATTGTGTGGTATGTTTAAGTTACCAAATAAATCTAAATTGGAGCTGTTATAAGCTTTATAGTAACAAAATAAAGATGTCCTATCGTCCAAATTTTTGATAGGCTTTTGAATATTTCTCGCAAATTGTACAAGAATGTATAAATAGGCATTTTTTCATACATAACCCGCAAAATACCTTTCGAAATTTGTTTCTAACGTGAACTCTTTTTGATAACTAATTTCTGGCAAATTTGATGTATGGAGATGTGTATGAACTAAAAATAAATTTGTATCCTCTTTAATGACATCAGATACTCGCAGAAGCATATTATCCATGTCATTCTCGCAGTTTTGAGTTCCTGAATTAGGCATTCCAACGACCTGTCAAACAATAGGTGCCAGTGAGAAATTCTTGTATATTTAAGGGGGTAGCGACATAGTTTTGCAACTTGGACGCTATTTTTATTCGAAGTAGTACTCGCCAAGCCTGCCAATTTATGAAGAAATGTATAGGTGGGTTTTTTTAAATATTATTTTTATTGTGTTTGACATAAAATATTTAAATGTAATCCATTATTCATGATTTTACATAAAGTAGATAAAATACACCCTTAGATATACCAAACCTGCCCACTGGTAATTCATTTGTTTGGAATGCCTAATTGAGTAGCTTTACACAGAACAACTTTCTAAAGGTTCTTTGAGGTTCTTTGAAATTGAATGTCTGTTGGATTAGCACAATTCTGTGGCCGGCGCTTAAAAGGCCATAAGTCGTTTTTTACGTAAATAGAGTTTTTAGTCAAGATACGTTAAGAAGATTGTATATTTTATGCAGTTAAAAGGATTCAAGTCTATATACGTTGTAAAGTAATAAAAATGAGGTACAAAAAACATATTATATAATAATACAAGGGTAACCCTTGGAAGACAAAACGTCAGAATTAAACATGAACAGTCAAATTTTGTAACATAAAACAGTTAAAACAAAGTATGTCTACATATTTTTTAATTTTTACGGGACCAAATTTCCTAAAAGATCGTCAATTTGGATTCTAAAAATCCTTGTTGACGTGTCCCAAAATTTTCCAGCGCCATTCTCCAAAAATATGTAATATCGATTTATTACTTTTTAAGCGCCGACCACAGAATTACTATTTTGCTTATAAGACCAAACAAATGTTCTATCGGATCTTGGTTTAAAAGTCTAGTAAAAAGAAACTTAAGGTGATTACAGCACCCCCTTATAATTTTGGCACAAGGATATCTCAAAAAGTAATTTTTTTAGAAAATTTAAATTTGGGCAAAATAAATTAGGCAATAATATCTAGAATATGCATATTTTTTAAAGTTTTAATTCTTTTCAGTTGCCGAGAAAAAAAATCAAAGGGCGTTAAATTTTGAAATATCATAATGAAAATAAATGCATTCTTCAACAGCACTATTCCTAATATAATCCCCAAATTTAAGCTCTTAATCTCTTGTTAACGATTTTTTAAAATTCGCCGAAATTAGTGGCTAAAACGCCTCGTTAAGTGCTTTTTTCTAGTGTAACGCGTCTGTAACTATCGTATCGTACACTCTGAGTCATCATTCGTTTCTTGCAACGATTTACACCAGTTTACACCAGTTTAAACCAGAAAATAGCACTTAACAAGGCGTTTTAGCCACTAATTTCGGCGAATTTTAAAAAATCATTTACAAGAGATTAAGAGCTTAAATTTGGGGATTATATTAATAATAGTGCTGTTGAGGAATGCATTTATTTTCATTATGATATTTCAAAATTTAAAGACCTTTGATTTTTTTTCTTGGAAACTGGAAGGAATTAAAATTTTAAAATATGTGCATATTTTAGATATTATTGCCTAATACATTTTGCCAAAATTTTAGTTTTTTAAAAAAATTACTTTTTGAGATATCCTTGTCCGAAAATTATAAGGGGGTGCTGTAATCACCTTAACGTTTTTTGTTATAAGAAAATCCCATGAAGAATGGAGCTAATTGTTATTTTAAAACCTGTTATAAACTTCATTTTTTTAGTTACATCCTCGCCTAGGTTATTAAAAACTTTTAAGTTGTCCAACAGCAATAACATCTCATTTAAAAATGTCAGTTGAAAATCGAGACCCTTAAACTCCAAATTATATTTCTTCCCGTCTGATGTTTCTGATGAGTTTAAAATATCAAATAATTTGTCGATTTTATCAATAAAATCAGCAGTTGCCTGGGCTTCATTAGACAAGTTACTTAATTGGACGTATACATTTAAAGCCGCTGAAACTGTTAAACTAAATACCTGACTTGCCTATTTTACCTTCATTTTTCAAAATTACTAGGAAATATATGCGAATCAGTTAGTTTAGGCGCTGATCTAGTAACTAACGATATTATAAATATGATAAAATTGCGTAATATATGACCAAGAAACTATTTTATTAGAAACAAGAAAAGTATGTTTCAGTAACATGTTTCTCACAGCCTTGATGAGGTGAGGTGTATCGAATATAAAAAAAAAAATTTTGATCGTCAAAAATAAAATAAGGTCTCAGGGGTTATTTGCAAAAAGTTTTTACATTGAATATTATTGGAGCCCATATCACTTACGGTAACAATAACGTTCAGTCCAATATTCCTTAACTTTTTAATAGCATCAAAAACTATATACTTTAACTCTAAACCAGGGCATGTACTATTGTAAAAAAAATAACTCAAAGGTTGCTTCCAATTAGAGAAAATCTCCCTGATTAACAAGACGGTGGCTGTTCTTGCTGGTTTAAATACTGGGATCTTCCACGCCTACAACATAATCCGCACTACGATTAAAAAAAAATGTCTTTATCAGTTTATGCTTATCTCATCCACACACAGTACACAATATTATTTGTCCATTTCATTAAAATTGTCGTAATAAGATTCTAAGGGATTGCGGCCCAGGCAGGCAAAATAATTAGTTAGAAGTGTTTTATAAACGTTTGGGCCAGAGAAATATAGTGATAAACACTTAATTTTAAATTTAGCTGATTTCATGCTTTGGGTAATCTGAACATTAATAAATTCTGCGAGTTCTTTGGATGGACACAGTGAATACGTACAAGTTTTGTACTGTTCGAGAGTGATCGTCTCTTCCAATTTTTCTTGAAGCTTCTTTTCAAGATGGTTACATTTATTAAGAAGGACCTGCTTGTCTCTTTTCAACGCGTTGTTTTTAAATTTCAGGGCATTGTTAATCTCCCTTAGTTTTTCCTTTCTTGGGCTTCGAAAAGTTAGTTCCTCTGATGTTTGGACACTCCGTGAAGGAAAACGTATTGGAGACCGCTGAATCGATTCTGCCTTATCGGAAGAGTTGCCAATGGTTGGAGCTGATGGTTCCAAAAGCTTATAAAGGGTGTCCCAATAAGAACTTGAATTTTGAATCGCGTGCCATTACGTGTGTCTTTTTATCCAACTGTTGCAGCAACGTTGGCATCGGTGCGGTATGTCAACTGTTATTTATTTCAACGGTAAATCGAATCTCAACACAAAACGTTCAAGGCCGCATCGGTGAAACAACGGTTGCAACAAACCGGTGGAAAAAAAGACACACGTATTTCCATCTGTCAAACATCAAGTGGGCCATATTAGGCATGTGTTCTGCCAAAACATTGACATTAACGAAAATGCCGCATTACACTCTTGAGGAACGTTTATTAATTGTAATGCCCCATTACAGAAATGGAGAAAATTTTTCAGTGACAATGTGCAGGTTACGTGACAATTGGATATTGGGACAACACGGAGTTGACGATGGATTCCACAACAAAATTATCTTTAGTGATGAGGCGTACTTCCATTTAAACGGCTTTGTGTTTTGTGAATAAACAGAACTGTCTGATTTGGAGGAAGAGCATCCAAATGCTGTGCAAGAGCTTCCAATGCATCCTCAAAAAGTGATAGTTTGGTGCACCATTTGGGCAGGAGGGAGCATACATGTACATTATACATAAATAACTTGTGGTTTCAACAGGACGGCGCGACCTGCCACACCGCATGCGAAACAATGACGTTACTGCAAACAAAGTTCCCAGGTCGTGTCATCTCTCGATTTGGAGACCAAAACTGGCCGCCGAGATGTTGCGATTTGATGCCCTTAAACTATTTCCTCTGGGAGTATTTAAAAAGTAGAGTATATGGAAACCATCCTGAGACGATTAGACAACTGAAGGAAGAAATCGAACGTAATATTCGTGAAATACAGCCGATTTTGCTCGAAAACGTCTTCCAAAATTTTGTCAAACGAATATACACATGTCAACGGAGCCCCGGGGTGTCCATTTGACAGATATTTTGTTTCATGTTTAATGTCAACATTTTCTCTTGAAAATCCAATAAAATATTTGCATAATTTTTTTAATTACTATGTTTTCTTTGTTATCAAAAATTCAAGTTCTTGTTGGGACACCCTTTATAAAATACTCATACATGGCACCCTCCCTCAGATTAAAGATACAGAAAATATCCCGAAGTAACAGCTAATTTAAAACATCCTTGAGGAAATCTGTAAAATGAATGTGCACCGATATAAGATTTATTTTTGCAGTCTTTACAACTACAAACAAATCCAGCTTTTTTTGTCTTCTTCCATAACTCACACTGTCATTAAAGCACAACAAAATCAGAAAATAGTTAACGATAAAAATATTTAAGCAAATAACCGAAACAACAGAATAATAATAATTATAAATTCACGATTTCGATACCACCGCCCGTGTCGGTCACTACTGCACTGAAAGTTTCGGTGTAGAATATAGGTGTGTTGAAGGTCACGATCCCTCGAAGATCACGTGATTGAAGATATCCTTCTGGTTATTATTTATTCTTGTGATGTTGTTATATCATTGTATTCAGCATTGGATATGCATTAAAATCATATGTCTGAATAATATTTGGTCCATATTAAAAGAAAGAAATTGATGGTACCTAGTCCTGCATTTACAAAACGTTGTATACAAAAATTAAGAACGCAAAATCGAATAAAGAAATTAAATTAATTTGTTTTCTACCAATATCTCGGAAACCGGCACTGATATTTCGGTTTTCAGAACGTCCTAAGATTGGGCTTCGAAATAATATAACTTTTTTCCCATTTAACCAATTCTGCGTCACTGCAACGGTTAAAAAGTGGCCACCCTGTATATAGATACACACACTCACACATACACACATGTTTTAAAATATAAGAAACACTTTGCCAAATGTTCATCCTAATATTAATTTGTGCCTACATCATTTAACCAGTGGAATTTAGCAATTTCAAATGCCACTTCAAACAACTTTGTAAAATACTTAAATCATACCTACCTATTAAAATAAATTTAAAACGATGATATTACGTTATTTGTTACAGCTGACTGAACTTTTGAAAAAACAATATTCTCTACCTCAAGAAACTGCTGCGCAAATATGTAAAAATTACTTAAAAATGTTTAGAAAATGTCCTGACAACTGTTCGATGAGTCTTCACGAATGGAGGCAAATTCTGTGGAGGAAAGCGCTTGGAGATAATTATCAACACTTATCCAGTAAGTAAAATAGTAATTTTTCTCGCTTATAGTTAGATAATCCGATATACAGGTTAGTAATTTGTGTTGCCTAACTAGTAGGAGTGTGTATCACAAAAATTGATTGTATTATCTTTTAAAAAGAGGCCAGATAAAAAAAAAGTAGTGGCCGAATCATTGCAATGTTGCCAGAACTAGGTGAAATTTCACTGAATGACAAAAACTGTATATGATAAGGATTATTTTTTGTAAAAGAACAAAAAACCGAAACAAAATAGGATTTTGTGATTAACGATTGCTTTATAATTAGGTATATGAACTGTTTCTTCAGTAAATTTATAATTATTTTATGAAAACTTTTTATATAGGAGAATTATTATTAAATTGTTGCAACAAATTTATTTTTGCGTTTAAACTTAGACAAGAGAAATTAAATAAAAATACATTAAATAAAACTTTTTAAAACGGATATTTATTTTTATTATATATTTATTATATATTTATTATTTATATCCAAAAAAAGACTAACCATTTTTTGGTAGGTATTGTATACAGTGCCGTAATTCGTTTTTATGTACCCAGTGCGAGTTTTTATTAACTGCGTCCTTGAAAAAGCCACTGCTGAGCCCGTGGGTCTGCCTATAAATATAAAATAATAGAGTTAATAACTTTGACCGTTAAAATCTAATGAAAAAAAAAATCAGCCTACGCTATGCCCTTGGAAAAGTTCTGGATCCGCCCCTGGAATTGGTATTTTTCTATTAGTTGCCTAGAAAAATCATGATCGCGGATCTAGGGAATAACATTTTTAATCTGGCAACGTCGCAATAAATTAAAAACTAACCTCATTTTTTTAATTTTTATTTGTTCATTTAATTTATTGGAGTTGCTGCATTGTATATTTGAAAATTAAAACTATACGTTATTGACTATGGGTAGAGTTTCCAGAGATAAACGTGATATATATTACCGGAAAGCCAAAGAACAGGGCTGGAGGGCGAGAAGTGCTTTTAAACTTCTCCAAATAGATGAAAAATACAACATATTCGAAGGTGTTATCAGAGCTGTGGATTTATGTGCGGCTCCCGGTAGCTGGAGCCAAGTACTGTCCAGAAAATTATTCTTAGGCGAAACCATAGTCATCAGAGATAAATGTTGTTTGTTTTACAATGAAATCGAGTTACAACAAAAATTGGAGAGGTTGGAGGAGTATGAAAGCCACAAAAACGAGGATGTCAAGATCGTCGCAGTTGATTTACAACCGATGTCGCCTATTCCTGGTGTAATTCAGATCCAAGGTACGTACAATTAAAATAGTATCTTAATTTGGTAAGGTAAATATCTAGTTTGACTTCCTTTCGAGTTTTACCAATTTTGTTTGTAAAACATCTAAATAATCCTTGAAACATGAATTTACTAGGTATTGAAAGATTGTGCAATTGAATATTAACAAACTTACCAGATAAAGAATGAATAGGGGTGCTGGGGTAGGCAATGTCAGCATTACCAGCATCTGATTTTTCCTACTAAATTCTGTGGAATCAGATTAGGATTTTTCATAATAGACTAGATATTTTTTGTGGAGTTTTCTGAGAAATTATTATTTAAATGAACAAGGTGCATTAGCTGTTGCTTTTTTTTAGTAGAGGTTAGTCTAATAAATACAACTGATGGAATTATATAAATATTATAAGTAAATTATATTTATTATTACTTGTCACTCTTGTCATAAAATAATGGAACGTAGAGGATTAGGATCCTGGTTGTTATGTAAAATTGATATAGATGTCGTTACTGGCCAAGTTTACAGTTGAAGTTTTTTAAAATAAACATAAATTTGCAGAAGAAATAAAACTCAGAAGATTTGCTCCGGCTTACATTTTATTAAAAAAAAAACAAAATATTCTTGCAAAAGAAACAAACAAAAAAATAAATACAAAACAACAAAAAAAAAACATTATTTTAATGAGAAAAACTTCCTCATTACAACATTACGAAATATAATAAAGATTTTGTGTAACATATACTTAACTAGTATTACTAGAAACTAGAATCAGAAGTAACAAGTAACTAAAAGAAATAGGAACTACAAAGTCATCACATGAAAACACTTGCACAAAAATAATAAATAGCTTCAAGTAATGTTGAGAAAAACTTTTCATTAAAGCATTCATAATATAAATAAATAATAGATTTGGTTTAACATAAAACTAGAAACTAGAACTTGAATCAAAATAAATAAGAACTTCAGTCATACAAAAAAAAACAATCACAACCATCATGTACAAAAATAAAAATATCTTCAAGTAGGGCACAGTGTGATAACTTAAAAAATAACAATGTTGTTTATACAGCCTTAAATAAGTCTTTTAGGGCAATTATCTAATCTCTATACTGAATTTTTCTTTTTAAAAGCTCTGTGGATTGTGTAAGTATAGCAAGAATCTCCTTTCAATAGATTTTTTGCATGTAATATTGAATCACAAGTGTCAATATTTAAACGATTCTGTACCTTTGTTTTCAATAAATTATACTGAGAGAATTGTCTCTCTGCAGTTGCAGATGAATGAGGAAGACACATTATACCAAGTTGGACAAATTTGGAAACATTAAATCGTCAATGCTATTTTTCATTTTAAATATTTTTCCCCAAAATTCTTCAAATTCCAATTCTTTGAAATTTTCAACCTCTTGACAATCTGCTAAAAGCCTCTACTCAAAGTCTAATTTTTCAATGTCAGTAACTAACTGAATACTATTAGCTGCGATGGAATTTACATTTCCACTTACTGCAGTAATGGGATTAAATATTTTACAATAATTTAAAACTGGATCTTCTTTTATTTTATTAGCATGTAAAGATTTTTTATCATTCTTGAGCAACATTTCTATTTTTGGGATATTTTTGGCTTTATTTAAATTATTCTTGTGCAAGGAGGTGTTGTTACTGGGTCTCTGAATATGGGTGATACCTCCAATAATTTTCTTATCACAGACTCTACACAATGCCGATGATCCATCTTGGCACCAACTTACATATTTTTTGTCTTGAGACCACTCTTAGCGGAATTTTTGCTTGTAGGAAGTTCTGGGTCTTTTCAAGGGAATTTTTGATTCAGAGGCAGACTTGGAGGCAGATGATGAATCAGAATCTAATGAAGCTACTCTGCTACTAGGGCCTGGTATAGGGGATTCAAATCTAGTACTGGGACCAGGTATAGGGGAATCAACCCTCCTACTGGGACCTGGTATAGGGGAATCAACCCTGCTACTGGGGCCTGGTATAGGGGAAGCAACCCTTTTATAAAGGCTGGCTGGACCTGCTCTTGCAGATTCTTCTTTCCCAATTAAAAAGAGCATACGCAGATGTCAGTTTTCACGCACACGTTTACGTTCATAGCATCACTTCAACTCTCTTAAACAAAAGCAATGACTGCATTATAGCAATAAATATTAGTAAATTGAACAAGTATTACTATATCCAAACAGTTTGTGCGACTTGGCAAAAGCGTTCAACAGCTCAGAATATCATTCGCGAATTATTACAAAACATCCGAGCTGGTAGGAATAATTCTAAAATTTCGTCAGTGTGATTTTATGACTTAAAGTGGTTGACGATATTATGCATTTGCACAAGATATTAGTTAGTTTTTTTTGTTAAACAATAGTGACACCTATAAGCATGTATGCTTAGTCTTCTAATCGAAAGTGGCCAAACTAGATAATAACCAAATAGTATCTTAATTCTGTTAATACCTTTGATATATTTTAGGTGATATTACGAAGTTTTCCACAGCTCAAGAGATAATAAGCCATTTCAAGGGACATAAAGCCGATTTGGTTGTATGTGATGGAGCTCCAGACGTAACTGGCTTGCACAGCATGGATATTTACATCCAAGCTCAACTCTTACTCGGCGCTTTACACATCAGTTGCAACGTTTTAAAACCGGGTGGTATTTATGTTGCCAAAATCTTCAGAGGCAAGGACAACGATTTATTGATGAATCAGTTGTTGTCTTTGTTTAAAGAGGTGGATATCGCGAAGCCTAGCAGCTCTAGGAATTCTAGTATAGAAGCGTTCGTAGTCTGTAGGTATTATTCACCTCCTAAAGGGTTTGATCCTAGACTAATAACTCCTTACTTAGATGTATCTCATAGGGATTTTAATTCTTTACAAGGGGTGAATCGTTTTATCATACCGTTCGTAGTATGTGGTGATGTAAGTGCTTTTGATTCAGACACTACATATCCCTTGCAGTTGAGAGGTGAGCAACCCTATCAGTATAGAGCTCCAGTGCAGCCACCTATCGCTCCTCCCTATTCCTTCCATAGTAATCTAAAGAAAGACAATTTGGATCATTATTTGAAAAAAATTGATGATGCTGTCAAACGGGCTGGTTTAGGATCAACAACTGTGACCAAAAAACAATTACCTGCCGCTAAAGTTCCAAGACGCGAAACCAAAGAGGAAATTGAAGCTGAAGAGGCGCAACCACAGTCTAGTAAGAACATTTTGGATAACGGTCCGTATTTTGACTTGTTACAAAAGACAACGAAGATAAAAAAGCATTCGAATAAGAAGGTGGAGGCTGAGGTGGAGCAGGCAGAGAGTTCCGGGTTGCAGTTTTTGTACGAGGATGAATATACGGATCCGGAGTTGATTAGGGAGTGTTTGGAGAGGATGAAGTTATCTGCCACTGCTCCGACTTGTACTTGTAATTATTTCGATTAATGAAGATAAGTTTGCTGTGTTAATTTTAAGGACTAACAATTTTTAAAATGTGAAATGTTTAATTTATGTATGTAAAATAAAATTTTTGATGTGATTATTTGAAATGCAATTTCTTATTTTGATTATGTGAAACAAAATAAATTTATTATTGAGATATATAAATATTTATTATTTGTTTCATTCTAGTCCTTTTAGTAAAGACGTTAAAAAGAAACAAGCACTCATTCCTTGTAAATACTTTATACAGTGTTGCCAAGAGTTTCAGTTAGTAGCAAGGAACAAGACAACATAAATAAATCTAAAAATTAAAGTGATCAGAAATCATCTATTATTGTTTTAAAAAGCTAACTACGGTACGGAATTAAAAACTCAACCAAACTTATAAGTATACCAAATAACTGACAGTATTTCAGTAATTGACACCCTTTTGATCAAAAATAAGAACAATAAAGCGCGTATACACCTGAACATTCAGATGTAGAAGACTGAGCAACATGATCCAAATCTTGTCCAAAGACTTTTAATTTTTCTTCTTTTAACGTTCCTCATGCTTATTAAGAGGGAGTCTGAACTTAGAAGTAGGCGATTAAAAATATCCCTGTTACAATTTTTTCTAGAGAAATTTCGCGCGAAGTCTTGGCGGTATGAGCAGAAATGCTTGTTACGTGCTTCCGCGGCTTCTTCAGACAGCTGCCCAATAGGCAACAATGCAGTTTTTATTATAACTGCACCATGAATAAGTATTTTGTGCATCGTTGGTGTCATTGGGCGCCAAGAGTACAGCTGCACATATAAGCGAGCAGCATCTAATGCGTATTTGTCATATTTTTATGTCCGCTCGAAATCGTTTCTAGTATGACCTTTAATTTATAAATTAGGTCATAACTAATGCCCGTTATTTCGGAAGCCACTTTATGTAAAGGCTATACCAGCAAGCTTTTAAATAAGGCACTAGTGTGTATTTTAAGTATTTATTAAAATACGTTAACTACAACTTCTAGATGAAACATGAACAACCGAACTACTGACAGCTCATTGTCCACTATGGCTAATGTTACGTTGCCGTACTTATAACCATATTATACACTTTCGGGTCTTCAAAAAATCTTCGGCTCGTGTTTCCATCTTTTGTCTAGCCATTTGTTTGTGGTATATCCACCAGTTTCAATGCGAAATGTTTTCTGGATTTCCAGTTTTCTTTCTTTTTCAATATTTTTTCCGTTTCTATTTTTCTCTCTGATTTTTTTCAATGGCCAAGTGGAGAATGCTTTCAAAAAAGACGAATCCTTGCATGTAGAACTAAAAGCTCAAACTCTGTAGGATCATGATTAATCTGGTTTTTAAAATCTAATTGGTTGAAATTATTAGAGGTTGCACCACATATATAACATCGGCTTGTAGATTTTGTACTAGTGACAGCATTACAGACCTTCCCGTCTACCATTGTCATAATGAACACATGTTTAACCAAAAATTGTGTTCCATTTAAGTCCACCTCTGTTGCATTTAGCGATTTAGCATATTTTTCCACAAAAATTATTTCTTCTTCCGTGATGTCAGTAGTCTCTTTAACGAATCGGAATCTTATAGGTCGACAATACCGTGGAGAAGAGGGTGTTGGGTTTGCCCATACAATTTTTTCATCTTTACCACAAACCAATCGTAGAGGAACGAAACAGCTCTAAAATATGTTCGCGTCTGAGTCGGCATCATTTTCAAACTTTGTTTGAACTGAGATGGCTGAGATCCATGGCAACCCCATTTAAAAATTATCTTCAGGTTATCTCGTTCTTGTTCTTTCAATGATATCATTACCTCTTCTAGGAATATTGACAAGTAAGGTCACCTAAAGGCTGTAAATCACTCTCCGCACAGGTACTATAGTTACTCTGCATGATTCTGCAGGTGGATAGCATTCAGGTGGATAGGACGGTTAGCAAAACATGTTGAAACGCGCACCGATCAGAGTATTCATGGAAGCTCATGTGGCTCGCCGCTGTCGTTACTACTGAGTGTCCTGTTCAGATGGATACGCTATGCCGCATCCGAATGCAGGTGTGTACGCGCTTTTAGACTCATAAGAAATGTCTCTGAAACATCGATACCAATTATCCAAACAGTATTGCCAATAGGTGACATATAAAAGTCTCAACTTTACAAGTTGAAAATCGCTAGAAACCACCAGAATTTTTTTTAAAATTCTAGCAACTTTTTTTGAAAATCTGGCGACTTTTGCGCGTGAGTACGAAAAAAGTGCATTGTGTGTTTTTATTTTATATTGATGTTGTAAAAGTAAATATTCAGAAAAGGTGAATAAATGTTTTAAATAAATAAATTAATAAATACGAAAAAATCATTTGTATATAAAAAAAACGAAAATTCTACTATTTTTTTTTTAAATCATTATAAAGTTAGGTGCAAAATATGTAGGAACTTGTTTAAGAAATATAACATGCATATTTATTTAATACACATGCATATTTTTTAATAAACATGTATTGGAGAGGGTGGAAAGCAAGTGGACTGTATATTTAATGTTGATGGAGGTTACTTCTTCGAAAAGTTTCCGCCCTAACCAATACAAGAGAGTAAAATTGTTTGTGTAGAACTCACCACTTTCACACGAATAAAAGTCATACACAAAATAAATGGTTTATTTAAATAAACAGAGAAGTCAGAATGAATTCTCACAATATAACTATAATAAAAATGTATTGTCTTAGACGTGGCAACACTGCACGTTTGCTCGACTTTTCCTTAAAATTAAATACAAAAAAAATAGTCAAAAAACTTACATATTATGTCACTTTCAGCACTGACTTTATTAGCATTAGTTAAAAAGAGAGAATCAAAATACATAGGGGTTGGTAAAATAGACATTTTAGTCGGTTTTAACGCTAGCGCACAAAACAACACCAATCATATTTGAGTAGTGGGGTACTACTGCGGCGAGTACTGGGTTCGAACGTAACTGGTCGGGAATCGGGAACCGCTCCGTGGTGATGCAGAGAAATACGTGGTATTCTGAAACCCGATCAGAGAGATATGGAAATATTTTATAATTGTACAGGGTAGAGTTAAAATTAAGTCGCGCAGGTGGATTTTAATTTTCAAAATCCAACAAAACATCTAACAAAACAACAAATCTTCTAAAAACAAAATAATTTCTATTCGATAAATAAAGTTGGTTAATATTCTTACTTTTTAACATAGGTATTTATCCCAGATTGAATGTGGAATTAAATGAAAATTAATCGTTTTGGTAGCTATCCTAATGATTTTCAAATTCAAATATTACAACTCTCAATAATGTCAAAATTCAAAATTATAGACTTTACTTTTATGTTCGATTGTACAACCACCTCCTTTTTCATTGCTAGAATATGGCCTACGTACTACCTACTATTATTATTATTATTATCATCATCATCATTCCTGATATGTAAAAGTCGCCAGATAATAGCCAGATAATGGCGAGAAAACGCTAGGTTGAAACACGTCTCAAATTCGAAGTCCAACAGACCTTCTGAAATCGCTAGATCTAGCTACAAAATCGCTTAATTGGCAACCCTGTATCCAAATAGTGTGGCGCCGTGCATTATCATGCATAAAGGTTGGCGTTTTCTCCAAGAACAGCTATTAACAGTACAACATGGTCTTCTAGAACCTTTATCAGGTACTTATCCGCAGTCAATGTCCCATTCTGGATAAAGACTAACACCGCGCGAACTTCAAAAGATATGCTTCCACCAAATGGAAGTCGTTCTGCAATACACGATTGAGCATATCTCTCGCCTTGTCGTCACCATACTCTTTTACACGTCTGTCTAAGTCCTTAAGACAAAATCACAATTCATCGGAGAACAATACGCGACTCCAATAAAATACCTTAGTCAAATCACAGAATATCTTCGCTACATCATCGGTTAAATTAATTTTACAGTTAGCGAGTTCAAGATAAGTATATTAATAAAAAAACAGACAGGCGGAAGAGGCAACCAATAATGCATATGTTGTATTTTCTCCAAAAATTCCGTAATGCGCATGCGTTGTAGTGCATCAGGATCGTGTAGTGTTCCACTGGTGGATAGTTTAGTACATGTACAGGACCCACAAGCAAATACTGATACACAGTGTTGTACTGTCTAAAATCTATTCTATATCCGATATCTTCGGAACCGACTTACTAACAAATCTATAGAAAGCCAAATGTCAAACAATTCATAATCAAGTAAACGTCCAAAACCACAAAATGTAATCTCCTCAACGTCAATGCAAAAATTAAAGTAAAATTTAAATTTCGGTACCACAAATTCAAAATTCTAGTCGACAATTCTTAAAAAAAAAAACCACCATCCTCAACCAATGCTGCAACTCAGAATAAAAACTATCGTTGGAGAAGAAAAAACCGTAGATATAGACCCAGGGGAGACCGTCAACGACCTCAAGCAGAAACTCGAAGAGCTATTCCAAGAATATCCCAGGGCCCAGCAAAGGCTCGTCTACGAAGGGAAATTTATAAAGAACGAGAGAACAATTAATTTTTACCAAATGAAAAATGGCGCTCTTGTCAATCTTGTAAAAGCGCTAAGAAGTGCGTAGGGATATTTTTTATTGCGATGCTATGGAATTTGAATACTTCCTGTTCTCTCTAGTGTTTCTGTATGCCTGGTACTTCGTTTTTACCAGACATCTGCTCAAGGAATGAAATAACATACAGGAACATTTATGCTGGTACTTTGTTTTTACCAGAATCTTCTCAAGGAGTGACAAACGTACAGGAACCTCTATTGAAATACTGTGTAAACCAATGCGTCTGTAGTATACTGTATACTCGATCTTTTTTAACCATCAGTAGTAATGAGTGCTTAATATGGGACATGTAGTATAATCGGATTACCTGTAAAGTGTTTCTACAATGTTTTATTTTTCTGTTTATGAAAATGAATGAATATATCTATGGGTACAATTATTTTTATTTTATTTCATTAATGCATTTG